GGGGGGGGGATTATTGCATATGTGGGCGGCTTTACGTTTGGTATCTACAACTCTGGGTCATGTACCGGGTTTGTTTTTTTTCGCACCGCCTGGAATTCATTTCCGATACGAAATGAAGATGAAAGTGTATATCAGGGCTATGTCTCCCACGTACCGGCGATATCCCGCCGAGTACGCCCTCTGACAGCTTTGACGCTTCGATTTTGTGGTGAGAGTTTAGTGGAGGAATGTGGTGAGGGTGCAGTATCGACTGTAGTAAAATTCGGTTGGTTTAGCGGCAAATCGCTGATCGTTACCTTCACACCCGCTCCAAAACTACAGCCTCCGAACAGCGACCTTAGGAAGTCGTCGCTTAGACTCATCACCCAAGTCAATACATGATTCAGGGGAAGGCGCGCATTGTTTACCAGATATCATTTCACATCACAACCTACGTCCAATATTCCTTGCCCCTTCTCGTTAATCTAATAGTAGGTACATTTTGCTTCTTCTCGCCCGCATTATACTTCAGCGTCAGAATATAGCTCAAGTTATCCCTGATTTCCTTTTTCAATTTCTCTCTAGCCTTCAACCATGTAGATCCCTTTTCGGCAGTCGAAACAGCATTCTTGGCCAACTCTTCTTCGTCGACTGGAGGCTCTGGCACGAGCTCAATGGTCCAGTACTTGAAGATGACGGCGAGGGTAAGCACCATTTCCACTTGTGCAAATCGGCGTCCGAGACAGCTTCGAGATCCTTCGGAAAACGGGAGGTACGCACCGGGTTTGGGAGAGGAGCTGGCTTGGGGGCGAGATGAATCGATGGTGGAAGGTGAAACCTGATCGGGATTCTCATTCGGAGCTGCAAGCCAACGGCAAGGGTCAAATTCTCCCAAGTCCTTCTCGGAATCAGAACCGGAGACATGGCTGTTTGCTCGCCATGTCCAGGATGCCCATGAGTTGGGATTGCGGTGTGCTCCAATGACAGAGAGTTTGATGTGCACATCAGGCGGAATAGTAATCTGCTGATTATTCTCAAGCAAAGTCTGTGGAGAACCTGGGAGTGTGCGTTTGGGGATCTGAATTACAGGAGGATAGACTCTGAGAACTAAGGATAGCTTCTTTAGTTATGATTCCGAGGGAATGATCCAATACAGAATAAGAAAAAGGAGGGACGTACTCTCACTGAAAACTGCTCCTGGCACACCAGCAAGCAATTTTGGGAGATCGAGGTCATAATTCCACTTGTCGAGGGGTCTATCGCCTAAGATGTCGTCCAAGTTCTGTTGGAGCTCCCGTTGCGACTGTGGGTTCATCGCGAGTTCAACCATGGCGAAGAATAGAGCATCTCCAGTTGTTTCATGCCCAGCCAACGTCATGATGAATGTATTGCCCAGTATCTCCTCATTCGTGAGGCTAATGGTTCTTCCTTTGCTTTCGGCACCTTCTTCAACATCCGTGTGACTTTCGAGCATCAACGACAAGATATCTACCTGTTTTGGTGCGTTCTGGCGATCTAGCTGTTCTCTCTTGGAAAGAATCATGTCTTGCATGTAGCCTTGCCACTCGGAGAAGGCTGTATAAGCATGGCGCACCGCCTTGAACGGCAGCTGTTTCAGGAGGAACTTGCCTAACAAGAATATCAACGGAAGATTCTCGAGAAGAATGGACAACGCGTCTTGAAAAGTCAAAGAGTGGCCTTCCATGTTCATCTTGTCTCCCCTAGACCCGCGGTTGTTTGATGACTTCTTATTGTGCTTTGGCCACTCAAGTTTTATACCAAGAACTGCCCTGCTGATGATGTTTAGCGGCAATAGCATAGTATCTTCCTGCAACTCTTTTAATGCCAAAGTTGCGCTCTCCTCAGTGTCGCTCAAGCCCCAACCTCCCACCATCGCTCGGGCCTGATACAGTGTTTCGTCCCAGACTAGTCGATTATTATCTTCTGAGAACGAAGGAGCCATGATCTTCCGGTGAGTTCGCCATTGCGCACCTTCGGTCGTGATGATATTTGGACCGTATCTAAAGATTGACATAAGTTACTGGTGCTTTTGAGTAGGCTAGCTGGTGCATGCGTAACGTACAGTTCAACGACTTTGCTTTCTTTAGTAGGCTTCGGGAACCTGCTCCCGTGCGAGGTAATCTGCGTGATGATTTCCGCACTGCATGTTTGGATTGATATTCCATTCGGCTTGATGATCAGAAAGGTGTCTCCCCCAGCTCGTTGATACATGGAATACTGAAGTCTCCAGTCCGGGTTTTCGTCAAGGAGGCTGGGTGAAATTTGCCATGGTCAGTTGGTGCAGGGTAGAAGTGACGACAGTCATCTGTAAATAAACGGAAGCGGGAAGTTCTTACTCAAGCCACAGATCATCACAAGGTAATGGCAGACGTCGTAGTATTGGTAATAAGAGTTTGGAAATAAGGATCCATGCTAGCGATTGAGGATCAAACGGTAACACAACATATGGTAGCTTTGACATTGTTAGTAAAATGGACTTAGTTTAGAACATAGAGTCTCTTCATTTGGGCTGTCTGGAAATATCAAGTGAGCTTTCAAGAGGATGATCGAAGACATACGTTGCACTGCCGAGCCACCTTGATCAGTCCTCTTGTTCGAAAATAGTTGCGCAAAGCCACAGATCCTCCCAAAACTATCAAAATCCAAGTGAGAGACTTTAAAAGTTCCATATTTTCCGAATCATTCAGCGTCTGATCTTGAGTTGTGAAGATCTGGAGACAGCAATGGAAGCGAATTTTGGCAAATAGTATCTCGCCGCTTGTAAGATAGATAAAAACTTGAAAACTTCTTTGTTTCGTTCCCTTGTGTTCAACAGAGTCAAACAAGAGAACATGTACTAGCTGCGGTAGCCCTCAGAGATATGTACTAATAAATATGTCTAGGTCAATCTTGTAACAACCTACTTTCCCTGTATATGGTCTTGATCTAATTAGGCTAGCTTCCCTGGTTGGCTCAGATTTCAACATATCTCACAGTCTCCTTACTGGCATTCTTCATGGCTATCTATGTTGCCTCTTTATCTTGACTAGAATTGTACTGAATCGATTTTCACATCAAGATCTCTAGCTATCAAGGCACGATTCATCCGACTGAATTTTGAAAAGACAAACGTTGGAGTCAGAAATTATGTGATTTATATGCATGACTAGTTGGCGCCGCTGCCTAGTCTTAGATCTTACCTTGACGATACAACTACTCTTACACAAGCATACTGTAATGAACGCATGGTTTCACAAGGAGCGAGTTACAAGCTCAATGCGACCCAAAGAGAGTCAGTTATCGCCGCGCATTTACCAGTATGGATATCCGATGTACCGAATGGAGAGCAAGTCATGAAAATCCTAGACACCGAGAGTAGACTGGAAAGGTGACTAGGTGACTGCTCGGACATGCCCGACAACTCTGTCAACTACAGATCTGGTAATATCCGAGATGGATTCGGTAATGTATCAGCCGGAGTTGGTAGTGTGTAACACATATCCGGTAATATGTATGTAAGACAGATCCGGCCGCGCCAAGGATGAATCCGGTAACCATGCCGAATACAAATCCGGTAATAGAACCGAACAGCAATGAAGCTAACCCTATGTGTATTCAGTTGGCAAGGCAAGCGACCATTAACGTAGCATCCCTGCAACTATATCACAATTACACCGGTTATATCCACTCGCACATGCAAGGGTATATGGTGATCATGAAATCTAAAGGCTACAGTTAAATAAAAGAACTACACATTATATGCAGATCTCAAATCTCAAATTCACTTCGCAGGTTGGTTCCGATGACTTCAGCACGCATTCAAGAGTTGTCGCCTTTCGACCATGTTGCCGTCCATTTATACTTACATTGGGTGACCGCATTCCGCATTCCTGAGAGCGTAACACCAGGCGAAGTATTCTCGCATCTCCGATACGGACTCGCAAAGACGATTGAAGATATACCTGAAGTCGCTGGCGAGCTAGTACCGCTCGACTCCGTTGAAAATGACAAACAACCGGGGCGATGGGGAATAAAGCTCTCAGAGGATCAGTCGGTGGAGCAGGTACTCTTCCAGAAAGACTATACTCAAACTGAGAAGTTCGATTACGAGAGACTAGCGGCTATGGGTATGCCGCCGTCGGAGCTTGATGTGAATGAACTGGGTGCCATGGGATTGTGGTGTGGGGACGGTCAAAGAAGGGGACTATTTTTTGCCCAGGCGAATTTTGTACGCGGTGGCTTACTGTTGTCGACTTGCGTTAATCACCATACACTGGATGCTATCGCCATGGGGGTAATCATTGTAAGTCATGCACGCATTTCCGTGATTTCTTATTGGTGGTTTTGCTTCATTTGCATTGGATCTGACACCATGTGAAGACGCGATGGGCCAGTCATTGCCAAAATCTAGTTTTATCCTCAGGGGAAAGGAAGCCACTATTACCTGTATTATCAGAGGCTTGTTTCAATAGAAGCATTCTGCCCCAACCAGAACTCGAGTCTGAATCCTACGAGACCCTGAAGGACCGCTTGGACCTCTGGACAGCTCTGGGGCTTCCTCAATATTTACATTACCCACCATCAGACCCAGACAGGTTACCTACGCCCGGACCTAAACTACGGACCACAATTATTTCATTTTCGAACCAAAAGCTGAAGTTTCTCAAAGACGACGCCCGTCCAGCTTTAGGTACAGAGTGGATCTCAACCAACGATGCGCTTATGGCCCTTTTCTGGCGCAGCATTATGCGGAGTCGACTCGGTTCTGATGTTCCAGATAGCGAACAAAACACCACTACTACTGAGCTATCATCCATATTCATCATGGTTATATCTGCCCGAGCGCGTCTCGCGCCCGCTCTCCCAGAGTCATATCTCGGCAACGCAGTTCTCCACGGCACGACAACAGCACTTGACCCAACCAAATCCTCACTAGCCGAACTGGCTCTAGTTCTACGATCTTCGCTTGCAGCCATTACCCACGAAGTAGCGAGTTCCTCACTCAAGCTGGCTGCTCATATACCAAACTATAAACTTGCGCATAGCTCGTTTCCAACTGCACTAGACACATTACTTGTAGCGACTAATTGGGCGGGCGTGCCGCTGTATGATTTAACTTGGGGAAACCCGTTGCATAGCCCGGCTGAGTTTGTGAGACTCCCTGGAGGACATATGGAGGGTGTTCTGAGGGTGTTACCGCGTAAGAGTGATGGTACGCTAGAGGTGTTCCTGGGCTTGGAGACGGATGTTATGGAGAGGTTTTTGAAGGATCCTGATATCGTGAAGTATGGAGTGTCTCTTTTTTGATAAGCACTCGAGCTGGTTTCAGACAGAATCGATATCAAGATCGAATGGCATTGCTTTTCTCCTTTGGTTAATGGAGAAGTGGGAACAAGTAAGATGTATGGATGTCTTACATGATCTCGGTGTTTGACCATGCTGCTGCCTTCGTCAATGCAACAGCCCTGCACACTCTTCATTAAATATATCCCTTTATGCAGATATGTTGCACTTTATTCTTTGTTCCTTTAGCCATATATTGAACTATTGTTCCCTCAAGTTCATTATCGTTATGAAGACGAGGCCATGTCAAATGAGATTGCATATGTGCTGGAAGAAAGAAAAACCAACGATTGACATTTGTATGTAGGTTTACAAGCGATGGATTATGCGTGGACAAAGCCTACTGGAAAGTGACTAGCCTTATGTGTTTGTGATATCAGACTATCTATCCTATGTTTTCACCCATCTCTTTAGCATTGACGAGAGAGATCTTACTGATGGATCAGCTATACGCATTTGAAGTCCTATTAGTCGGAAAGTTCAGGCAGGCTACTACGGGCGTGTGATGGATGGAAAGAGATCTCGGAACAACAAATAAGTCAGCCTGAAATCATATATATGTAGGAAAGGAGAAGCTATGTAAACATCGATGCCTTTTTAAACGCCTCAACCTCCTCAACAACCGTCTGAATAGAGGCCGGATTGATGAGCTTGATACTTTATTAGTACATAGTCGTACACTCACACTGCTAACATCACTCACCGTCGAGACATCCCCAAAGTTCTCTTTCTCTCCTTCAAAGATTTTCCTCAAAATCCTTCGCATGATCTTACCAGATCGAGTCTTAGGAATATCGGAAACTACTATAAAGAATTTTGGGGCCGCAAACCCACCAATGGCTTTCCTGATATGGGACTTGGCCGTTACGTTGAGTGTGCTGTCATGTTTGTGGCTGTCTTTGACAGAGACAAAACATAACAATGCTTGGCCTGTCATCTCGTCGGGTACACCGACAACAGCTGCTTCAGAGACCGCAGCTATCACGAAAGGAATTTTGTTAGCGCTATCTGAACTTTCTAGCTTCTCACAAGAATTCACCATTTTGTTTCCTTTTTTTTCGTTTTGACTCGGGTATAGGCTGGTGACAAGTGGAGGTACTCACGATGTTCCAAAAGCGCAGCTTCTAATTCAGCTGTAGAAAGTCGATGCCCACTGACGTTGATCACATCGTCAATGCGACCACATATCCAATAATCACCCTCAGAATCCCGATACGCTCCATCACCAGTCAACTGTAATTGGTACTGTTAGCCAGGTCTTGAAGCTGAATTTAGCCTGTACAATGTTTCTAGACTTACGTAGTAGCCCTTATACTGGCTGAAATACGTCTCGATAAATCTCGAATGATCACCCCAGACTGAGCGAGCCATGCTTGGCCAAGGTTGCCTAAAAGCAAGATAGCCTTCCTTGTTGCAACCGACGATCTCACTTCCTGTGAAGGGATCAAGAAGTACAGGGTCAATGCCGAAGAAGGGAACAGATGCACAGCCAGGCTTGGTGGGAGTGACTCCGGCTAGTGGGGCAAGGGCATGGCATCCCGTCTCAGTTTGGAAGTATGTCTGGAAGGCGTTAGCTATCATTATTCACTCAAGTGAATTCGATTGGGGAGCTGGACATCGATGACATGAGCTTTCTTCTTTCCTACCGACTCATAATACCAGAGCCAAACTTCTGGGGCAATAGGCTCTCCGATAGACCCCAAAACCCTCACCTTGGAAACCTGTTCAGAACTTGGTTCAGAACCGGCTTTTTTCAGTAATCGTAGTACTGTAGGTGCGGTGTAGAAATGTGTGACGTTGTGTTTCTCGATGGTGTTCCAGTATCTGGAGGGGCTGGGAAATGTTGGCGTGCCTTCACAAACTATTGTTGTTGATCCAAGTAGTAGTGGACCATAACACATGTACGTGTGTCCGGTGATCCAGCCAATATCTCCTGCACAAAAAAAGACATCTTGCTCGTGAAGATCCAAAACATACTTTGTCGTCGCAGCGGCTCCAAGGAGGTAGCCGGCTGTTGTATGCATGAGACCTTTGGGCTTTCCGGTAGACCCCGAGGTATAGAGCAGGAACAGTGGATGCTCAGCTAGTAGGTCCTCAGGCGCCATATAGTCGGGCCATTTTTGAACTTCTTCATGCCACCACCGATCTCGCGAGGGGGTCCAAGGCGTAGGAGTTATGCCAGTTCTTTTGAAAACCAGACATCCAGTGACTCCAGGGCAAGAACTCAACGCTTGGTCAACCACACTTTTCATTGGAATGGTCTTTCCCGCTCTTCGGGCCTCATCACTTGTAATGATGAGTTTGGACTTCGCATCTAGTATCCTTCCTTCCAGTGCTTCCGCCGAGAAGCCAGCGAAAACAACAGAATGAACCGCACCAATCCGCGCGCACGCAAGCATGGCAATAAGAGCCTCGGGAACCATGGGCATGTAGATTGTAACAGTGTCCCCTTTGGATACTTCCATGTCTTGCAAGACATATGATAGCTTGCACACGCTCCAGAGGAGTTCACTGTACGTAATCACCCGAGTCTCTCCACCTGCGTCTTCCTCATATATGATGGCGGGTTTCGAGGGTGTTCTGAGGGCATGCCGATCGACGCAGTTGTATGAGGCGTTGAGTCGGCCTTCTGGAAACCAAGCTGTATCGCCATTTGCGAAATCTCCAGAGCATGCTGTTTGGAAGTCATTATCCCAATCGAGCAATTCTCGAGCTAGTTTCGACCAGAATAAATCTGAATTGCGAATGGATGCCGAGTACAGAGATTGGTAGTGGCTGATGCCGGTGATATGAGGCTTAGAGGGATGTCTCCTAGGTCGCGGTTTTGGTTAGTCTGGAGTTCATCGGGCGAGATGAACAGAATGGATAGGGTCTTAGGTATGGGTGTATATAAGGTACCGATGTAGTTCTGGTGGCACTTGGATTGTGCTAGCTCTAGGCGTAGTCTTGTTATCTGTTCGCAAAGACGACATTGCTACAGTAGTTCGTGGATGCTGATCGTGAATCTGATTTGAACTGCAAGAAGGCAAAAACACAAGACCTAAGGCTATACTATTTTTAAATCATACTTCTAGTAGCGGTGAATCTGTGACACCGTACTGCTTCCTTCCGCTTTGGGTGCATCCGCAATATTTCGGCTGTCATGCCTGATTAAACGGGCTTACTAGAGCATACCTGTTGACTCGGACCGAGCCGCCCGGGCCCGAATGAAACCACTAATTCTGGGGGCCTCTTCGGATAAGCTTCCCGTTCCCTTTTACTAACCACATCTGGAAATTGCATGATTAGCGTCAGTACAGTTAGACAAGCCATTTGCCTTATGTCTTCTTCGCTTTCGGCGAAGCAGGCTTTCGTTTTCCAGCAACATGTCAGATCTTTAGCCAGAGCTCAAAGCTCAACGCTATCTTTTGCCACATGGCCACATGAGATGTAGTAATTTCTAGCGGACCCAGCCTCTTACATGGCGACAATATCACAACAAGGTAGCTTCAATAGAACACCATCTCTGTGTCGTATTGCAATCTAAATAAGGTTGAATTTAATGCTGATTAGGGTTACTTTACCCGAAAAAGAGTCGTGAAGCGTGGACATAGAACAAGTAGCCGAACAGGCCTCTGTAGCTTGTAGTTTGATTCTTATAGCCCCATCCTCTCAATTGATCGGTGTGACTGGAAAACCTAGACCAAGCAGGCTATCCACCAAAATAAGTCACCTTTACTAAGAAATATCATCACTGCTAGTATTCCTTTTGACAAAAGAACTGAAAGTAATCTTAGTAGCCCTGTATTTACTATAATCCAGTACGTATTAAGTACTATGCTACTAGCAGCTTTGCTATAGCAACATAGATTTTGAGGCGAGCGTTAGTATACCGTTAGTACTAGTCTGACCTTTTCTCCGAATTCATCCGGCGACCGAGAGCCCTGTAATCGGCGCTAGACTAGCACAAATGATCTTCAGAATATTTGCACTAGGGGGACACGTAGATTCCATTTGCATAAATACCGAAAGTCTATGGCCTGCCATGCATATTGGAAAACGTAACATCGAAACTCTCGCGTCCCATGTTCCTGGTACTGAAGCCAAACGCGGAAAGAGCGTTTGTTCCTTACACGCCCAATTCCATACCTCAAAGTATCCAAAGAACAGCTTGCTTGAATTGCCGTGCAAAGAAAGTTAGTTTTTCCTTCATCACTTCCAGGAACTTGTATCTGTTCCTTGTGCACTGCTAATACAATTCACAGCTCAGATGCGAGGGTCAGAAAACAGCATGTGATCAATGCAACTCGAAGCAGCTGAAATGTGTATATTCTCGAAACACCAACCATGATACACAGAGGAACCGGAAAACGAAAAGGGCTCGAAATAAATCGAATGCCGTAGTGGAGACTAAGATTACAAATGCTGGCAGTGAAATCCGCTCTGAACCAGAGTATCATACAACAGAAGCAAGATCAGAATCTGAGAGCACAAATTCATCACCTATAGAATTGATATATGAAGAGTTTCTGAATCAATCTGAGTCTTTTGATTTGGAACCCTACTGGGAGTCGCTGGAAGGTAAGCTTTCTTTCTATAGCTGAACTTGCAAAATGTGCAGCCTGATGAATGTAAACAGCAGCCGAGCTATTCGGGGACAACTCTATGAGTTTGATAAATATGGACATTGACTGTTCAAAAATTCTTTCCAGTTCAATCAACAGCTCAGCAAAGAAAGATAAAGCGCGTCTTGAAGGTACGGAAACGAATCCCCTTCTCGAGTATATACTCCCACTCCACTTACCTCACAGTTTTGATTACTATTTCATTGTAATCAGCTAACCCTGCTGTGAAATAGATGGCCAATATAATGACTTCCATTCTGAGCGAAATGTCTCCACTGGAAATGCAATAAGCAATTATGAGAAAGCACTCGGACAGGGAACACATCCAGCAAACCTCATCTCCAACAATGCGCACGATTGCTTGGAGTTTCCCATAATCTCAGAACCAACTCATCTGATGTCTCCAGTCTTTGGATCTTCCCAAGTAGGCTTTGGAGATTCATATCAAGCTTCTCGGAAGCAGAGTTCCTCGTCCGCCCCGACATCACTGACCACCTGCCATTGCTCAAGTATGGTTTTAGAAACCTTGACAAGGGTCAGTGGAGAGTCTGTTGACGGTAAGACTCACCAGATACATCAAGCTCTCGACATGATCAAGAAAATTCTGAATCACTTATCGGTTGGCGCGACATGCCAAACGTGTAATCACCAAAGCGATCTTATGATGTTGATTACGACCACTTTTGAGAAATCTATTGATTCATTTGATCGCTCGCTAAAACGATACAAAAGTAGAATCACAACATCTGAATGGCAATCTCTTGATATGTTTTTTGGCCAAGAAAATAGTTTCAGCTCGTCAGGAGAAGCAACACAGCTTTCCTTCTCTTCGATTGATGCATCACAGAATGATTTAGGGCTGGAAAAACTCAAAACGATATCTTTTGGAGAGTATTGCGTGGACCAGAGAGAGGAGCAGTTACTGTTGGTAGCTGTGTTGGTGAAGTGTCAGATCAGAAAGTTAGCACAGTTCCACAGCAAGATACAGGCATTAGCTGCTCTAAGAAAGTGGGAAATGCATCGGGTTCTTTTAGAGCAAGTCGGGCAGAAGATTAGAGCCTTGTATCTGAAGTAGGTAGCGATTAGAGGCGTGGAATTTTAGTATAGGTCGATGGCTTTGCTCAGAGATTTATAGGAGTGATCGTCGCATTTCAGTCTAAACGCGGTGATAAGTTAAAATTCAATCGAAAAGGGACAACCCTCTGTTAACGAGCATGATAAAGTGTCGCAATTTATTGAAATCTAACAACGGCTTTTCTTTCCTTGATTTAGTGTTGCATGTAATTGCACCTTTTTCTCATCACCTTACTAAATTACTAGATGATACATTGACGGGTGTAGGGTTCCCCGGATCACGATCTTCAATGTAGAGGGGACCCAGTACCTAATGTCCTGAGCATGCTATTTTAAACGAAGAGGTAAAAGGGGCACTATGTAGAGTGATTGATTTTCTAGGGAAGGCGTCCTTTCGGAAAGAAAATACAATATATATCTTGTTAACAAACTATGCCCATTCTTATGCTCTAAGTTTCCTTGGAGCTATCTTCTTCTAATTAGCATTTGCGCTCCAAAATCGGGACGAACTTCCATTCCCCAGTAATTATTCTCAGGCCTTTTCGCCCCAGCGAGCAGTTTTAGCTCAAAATTCTTGAGAAACTCAACAACGATGATCTTAATCTCATTACTACCGAAAAAGCGCCCTGGACATGCATGGGTTCCATGGCCCCAGTTATAGTTCATGCCCCTATAAGATTGTAACGATAATTAGCGCGTAAATTCTACAAAGGTTCGACATTTATTAGAGATAGAGCTCACCCTGTGGATACAAACTGATGCTGGTTTTCCATCCCAGGTATTTGTCTTAATTTGTAGAATCTCCAAGGATCAAACTCGTTGGGATTATCGAATATTTCCGCGTCCCTATTCACTGCTCCAGAAGCTACACCGATGAACATACCCTTAGGAATTGTCGTCCCGTCAGAAAATTTCATATCCTTCATGACCTTACGCGTCATTGTCACTACAAGAAAGAACCCATTAGCCTCTTATGCAGCATCATTCTTCTGGTACAGGGAACAAAAACGTAGGAGTAATTGACGAAAGCACTTACGTATGTTCAACTGATTCATACGCTGCGATTCCTTCATAAGGCTATCAAGTTTGTGAAGTTTTGTGAGCCCTACTTTAGGGAGAGGACAACCGTATTTCGCTTCGACATCGGCAATTTCTTGCCGTAGAATCTCATGCGTATCCGGTAGTGCGGCTATGTCGAACAATATATGGTAAAGCTAATCACTTTAGCGTAGTTCATATAATGAACAGCGCGTCATCAGGTCTCTTAGAAACTTACACTAATTCCAGTGCTATGGATTGCTGCAACTGAGATCTTCAAGTGAAACATAGTCTGCCACCAGATATTTCTCTCGTTGCCGTTGGAGTTGTCAATACCCCATTGGAGCATATCTTTTGGACGCTTGAAGTCTGGGTCTTCCATGTCCTGTAGGCGTGCCTCAAGCAGAGGCTGTATGATATTCATTAGCAATGGTTAAGCTGTTCTTGCTTGGCGCATAAACTTACCTGCAGTAAGTTCTTGACGTTCTTATAATGCCACCGAACTCTGCGAAGCTCTGGCAGGACGTGTTCCAGGATTGGCCAGAAAACCCGGGGATATTCGGACAACTTCTTGCCTCCCAGGAAAGTATCAACAGTAAACTCTATCGTAGATTTAAGCCATCGCTCATCTCTACTCATTGGTAGGCCAATGAATACACGTCCTTTTTTCATTTTATTTTAGTAAGCGCTCGCCGGATAGAGATATCAGAGTTTGAAGCTCACCTGATACAAAGGAAATTATCCGCAATGCATTTGCATATAAGTGAATTGGCGTCCAGTCTGCACACCTGTTTAGAAATATGTCATTTGGCAACGGCGAGTAGAATACCTTGGCAGTTACCAAACATGTCTTGCAATACCCAACTAGCTTCGTCTTGCATAACAAACATTGTATGACCAAGAAACCGGGTCAAATCAATCTTGATGCTATCAATCAAAGCATGCTCTATTAATCTTTTGTCTTTTGGGTACCCTTTCTCAATGAGTTGGTGGTCGCGTTGAGTAATGATTGTTGTATGTTTTCCAATAAATCGAAAATAGTTATGTTCAATGAACGATAGTTGAGTTTCTGGAACAGATTTGATCTCAGGGACATATTTGATCGGAACGATGACATTGTTGATTGGCTCTGTCGGTAGGGTATAGAATGTATTTGGATGCTAGAATCCTGAGTCAATACTTGTCTAAAATCTTAGTGTTGTTCGGACCATAACCTTCTTGTAGGCATCTCTTATCACGTCGCGAAAGCCTGCAGGGTCATTTTTATCGCCAAAGACAGGAAAAACTTTCTTATGCCGTAGCGATCTGAACAAGATGTTCGCAATATAGCAGAAGAGAAACGTAGTAATTGCTAGCACACTCCGAGGACTAAGAACTGTTTTGATGACGAGTTCGCGCAAGGTTGGCTGATCCATTGCGACTTGTTCACATGTGCGAATTGTGGAAATGTGCTAGAATCGGGGTTAGATGCTATTACATAGCATATTGTCGAGATAAATCTTGCCGTCTTGCTACCTAAGAAGAGCCATTCAAGCGATTCTAACTTGAACAAGCAAGAGCCAGTTGTGGTATAGCGAGACTAACTAGATTAGTCTGATTGTTTCGGGAACTAAAGTTTTGCTAAAAACGGTACCCGCTATTACCGTTTCCGGATGCGCCGAGCTAAGACAGGGTCCTACCATCGTAGAGAAATAATGTCTTGGCGCTTCTCCAAGTTTTGGACTCACTGATTAGTATCTGCTGCAAGGACGACTGCGAAAGAGCATTCTCACCTAGCACAATACATACTGCACCAAAAAATTGTATTCGGAAGCCTCAGGGACAATATTCGACAAGTTTCTTTCCTAAACATTGTACACAGTAGAGATGGCTTCCAGCAACCTGAGCTTGGTTGTATGGCCTAATTCATTGTCTAACTTAGCTTTTCTGCTCAGTTTTCTAAGCTCATTGGTACGTGCATAAACTTTCTGTTGATGAAATCTCAAGGCCGGTATCATACTTCACAAGTACAGCTACTCAAAGTTGAATCTATCTAGGCATTGTTACTCATATTTTGTAAAACAACATACAATCTTCTCTTGCACCCTCTGCGCTCATATCCAGGACCCATGCTCGGCCGAGCTTCTCGTCTATATTAGTAAATCTTCCTTCGGCCATTCTCATCACGATGATGCAGGACTGATCATGATTGCAGTATCTACTACCAATTCCGTGGAGATCTTCCATTCATGACGAAAGCCCTTCACGAAAAATATGGTTCAGTTGTCCGTATTGCACCAGATGAACTTTCATACTCTTCCGGCGATGCTTGGCAGGATATCTATGGTTGTTTCACCTTCCATTACACGCTCCTCGTTCTGACTTCCCTAAGGCCATCGATCTTCTGCCACCGTTGCTTCAAAAGGCTCATTTGAAAAAGATAAAACTTGGTATACAAATGTTGGGGAATCTAATTCAATCGTAAGTCATCTCATATGGCTAAATGCTGTATGTCAGCTAACGCAAGTCGATACTAGGTAACAGCAGGCCTAGAAGGTAATAAGTGTCAAAAGCATAAAGGCGGTTTCTAATGTGTGTGCATCGGCAGACCATAAACGATTCCGCCGAGTGATGGGCCCCGCCTTCTCTGAGAAAACCGTCAAGGCTCAGGAGTATCTAATGAAGCGCCACGTGGATCTTTTCATTTCACAGGTAAGCCAAGGTTCGTTACTCATCGTGGTTGTTATGAACTGATGCAATCACAAGCTCCACATGCGGGTAAAAGATAAGGAATTGGCGGGAATCGATATCGTTCGCTGGTAATGCAATGTTTTAGAAAGATAAAGCTTCACCACTAACTAGTATATTAGGTTCAATTTTGTCACTTTCGATCTCATAGGAGACTTAACCTTTGGGCAGTCCTTTGGTTGTCTAGAAACTGGCGAGTTACATCCATGGATTCAATGGGTCTTTGGAGGTGTCAAAGAATCCTGCTTTTTCCAGGCGATACTACGAGTGCCGGGCATCCAAAGTCTTCTCAAACCGCTATTTCATCTCAAAAACGACAACTGGAAACAGCAGTTCGAGTATTGTGCTCAAAAGACCAAGGAGAGAATGGCGATGAAAACGAATAGACCTGACATTAGTAAGCTGTATTAATAACTTTGATGATTTAATATACGCTAATGTGATTTTAGTGACACATATTCTCCGAGCAAATGACGAGAAGGGATTAACGGAGCAGGAGATTCTGAATAACGCGCAGGTATTGGTAATTGCTGGCAGCGAAACAAGTTAGTTCTATGGTTTATCGGTTGTCAGGGATATGACTAATCGGTTATCTAGCGGCTACGGTGCTCTCTGGATGCGTTTTTTACTTGACCCGAAATCTGGACGCCTATAAGAAAGTGACCGCTGAGATCCGAACCTCCTTCGCGGTAGAAGATGACATGAACGCCGAGTCTCTGAGTAAGCTACCGTACTTCAACGCTGTGCTAGAGGAGGCCCTACGAGTTTATCCACCGCTGTCAGTGACTCTTCCTCGAACCACTCCACCCGGAGGTGAGATGATAGCAGGGAAATTTGTGGCTGGAGGAATGACTGTAGGAGTCAATCACTGGTCTTATAACCAAAGCAGCGAAAATTACAAGCATCCTGAATTGTTTACGCCAGAGAGGTGGCTTAGCAAGGAGAACGGTTCTGTAGAACAATATGAAAAGTTCGCTGACGATCAACGGAAACCTTTCAATCCTTTCTCCTTTGGACCACGCAATTGCATAGGCAAAAGGTATGTCTGTGTTCACTACTCATACACCTATAAGTGGGCTAATATAGTCTCCTTCTAGTCTGGCTTATGCCGAGATGCGTCTTATCATGGGAAGGCTGCTGTGGAACTTTGATATCGCATTAGAGCCTGGTTTTGAGAATTGGGAGAAACAGAAAGTTTACATCCTTTGGGAGAAGTCCGAACTCAAAGTACGATTGACCCCTGTTGTTGGATATTAGTTGATTCTTTCAATTTCAAGAGTGAATTGATCATAGGATCTGGCTCAGTTCAATATCATATCAACAAATGGAGATATTCTGCAGTTACAATCATATTTGTTCTTGTAGGAGCTCAATAAATAAGAATTTAAGAGAACTTGATATTTAATCGTTTCTTTCATTCTTCAGATGGAGTGGTTGTTTGGTTTCGAGACTGCTCTATGAATTGCCTTCTTGACATCATAAAAGATTATCGCAAATGAATCAGAGGCCAATGAAGGCTGTTGAAATCCAAGTCGGAATTATGTTATATACCTTGGAACTCCGTTCGTGGGACGCTGTTCCCGGGAATCTCTTATCGCGATTCTACTAAGTACTTACATGTCGTTGTTCCCTGCAACATTGAGGCTTTATGGCAGCAACGGCAAGTTGGGGCGAGGTAACCGGAAGCGGCACGGAATGATCGGATTTGTACTAACGCTGAGTCAACGCTAAAAGGAAACATTGACATCGTGATATTTAGAACTATTTCGCCCAAGTTCGATGTTTTCCGTCTGTCTTCTGAGTGATTATCTAATATCAATTTTTACCAAGGATACAACCATGGATATTCAACTACCTACTTTCTGGTTCAAAGATAACCTTCGCTTAGTCGTACTGCTTCTGTGCTTCGTTGTTGCATATTATGCTTTCGGATCCCGAAGATCCAAACTTGGAGATTTCCCAGTTATTGGCAACCAAGACAGTGCGGATTTTCGCACTGCTCTTGAGGAAGGATGTAGGAAGGTGAGAATCTTCTATTTTACTACTCTCCAATGGAGAATTCAAATATTGACATTCTTCTCTGAACAGTACCCCGGCTCTGCCTTTATTTTACCTACGCCAATACGACCCACAGTGATTCTTCCTGCAAACTTGGTTGAAGAAGTCATACGTGAGCCAGAAGATGTGTTGGCAACAAGAGAGGAAGTAGATGATCGTTTCTTGGTGAAATATACCCTTATGACCGCGGATGATCACATGATTCGGCGCTCAGTAAACCTGATTACACGGAATATCAATGAGATTATGGATGATATTACTGATGAATTGGACCTTGCAATCTCGAAGGTATTCGGTGCGGATACAAGTATGTTTGCCCTATCTTTTTCGAATTTGAAGTAGAACAAACATGGGGCAACGAATTCGTTCTCTCAATGTGCACGATGCTGACCGAGATGATTCTAGCTTGGCAGGCAATTAACGTACACACGCCAATACTTCAGCTTGTTGCAAAGATAAACTCCAGGGTTTTTGTCGGCCTAGAATTATCTCAAAATGTAGAATGGGTGAGTATGTCTCCAGGCTTGGTGACTCAAGATGGTGTACACATTAACACTTGGGATACTTGACTTACTGAAGGATTAGGTCGATGCAATAATCAACTACACGGTTCAGTTGATGACCGCTGTGAAGAAATTGCTGGATTGCCCCGCGTTTCTACGCTCCGCGGTTCAGTACCTTCTTCCTGAGATCCGAACTATCCACCAATCACTCGCCTCATGTTGTCGTCTTCTCCAGCCAATCTTGGAGGAAAGGAGGCAGAATTTAGCTAAGCCTTCTTTTAAGAAACCAGCAGATATGATACAGGGTGTAATAGATTACGCACCTCAAGGCCAAGGATCGATTCTAGAGTTTCAAGGTCGTTCTCAGATGATTCTGGGACTTGCTTCTACTCATACTACGTCAATCACAGTGAGTTCATTATAATATAGTATAAAGTCATAGTGAATGTCGATTGGACTGATACAGACAGCTCCAAAATGCTCTATATGACCTTGCGGCCTATCCACAATATCTTCAACCCTTACGCGATGAGTTGGAAGATATGATCGAGCAAGATGGCGGAAAGCTCCTTACCAAATCATTCCTGATGCTTCGGAAGATGGACAGTTTTCTACGAGAGTCTCAAAGAATGAACCCCATTGATCTACGTAAGTTTCTAGAAATTATTCGCTGCTTTGAGCTATCAGCCGCTGATTTAGAATCGACACTTTAGTCTCATTGAGGCGGAAAACGAAAATAGCAACAGTTTTCTCTGATGGAACAGCAATCCCTGCTGGAACTTCAATTGCTATACCGGTCTCTATTGTTCGTGAGAACGATATTTTGACCAACCCAGGTGTATTCGATGCCTTCCGATTTGAGAGGTTAGCGGAAGCTGAAGGAAACTTCAACAAATATCTGGTAAGTTTTCCAACATTCTCATGAAAGAACTACTCGGGTCGGATACAGACAGGTATCTCGAACAACATAGAATTTTCGAGTAGCTAATATGGATATAGTATGTTAGTACTGATGGCAACTCTCTGGGCTTTGGTCATGGTGTACACGCATGTCCCGGTCGATTTTTCGCTGCCATTGAAATTAAGTTTATCCTTGCTCACATTCTCCTATATTACGACATCAAATTCGCAGAAGGTACTCGAAGACCGAAGACAACGTATTATGGGACCAATATCGGACCAAACCTTGATGTAGAAATCATGTTTCGAAGAAGATCGAAAGATACTTAATAAGATTCTTTACTACCATCATATCCTATATTGCACTATAGCCCAGCCTAATCACTTGACGCAACTTCGTACTTCTTCCTCTGAATTGCCCTTTATTAAAGACCGCTTGCTTTGTAACCTTTGTCTTTAAATTTAACCAGAAGCACTACTTCGCCGGCTTGATACTCTTCCATTCCACAAAGAGAGAAGCCAGAAAAGCAACTCCTCCAACGCTAATTGGTAAGATGAAAGAATCGTCAATCGATGAAACATAAGCCTCCAATATTCCTGCCATTGAATTGACAGGGAACTTTTGTCTCAGTTCCGTGACTCCAGTGTTTATTATCTGTTGTGGATCGATACCAGGGGCATATTGAGCGAGATTTCGTGCCAAAGAGTTACTGAAGATATTCTGAGCAATGCTTGTCGACATGGCCCCTCCTAGCGAGTTGGCAAAAATGGCCAAGCCAACACCGATCTGAGCGTCGCTAGGGTCCAGCAGTGCCTGTACTGCGACGAAAGGTACTTGTACTGCTAAGCCAGCACTACCACCCGCTAGTATCTGGTACCCAATGCTTTGGGCAAGGCTCGTGTCTACTCTCAGAGTAAATAAAATACCGGAACCAATAGTGAAACAAGCTGCACTAGTTATCATAAATGGCGATACATAGCCCACCTTCGCTATCAGTAAACTGGTAAAAAGAGACATGGTGATATTGGAAACAAGGTATGGAACAAGCAGGACGCCAGATGTCGTTGCGGATTTACCCTTCACAGCTTGGAAATATATCGGCATATAATACATGTGCCTGTATAACAATAGGGAAGGACATTAGCATCATTTCTTAAACCTTGAGCAGGAGTATAGGTTGTTCCAAACTTACACATAAGCACCCACATTGAGCATGAATGCAAAGATGTAGCATGCTAATACCGATCGATGAGATATCACTCTACTAGGCATAGTAGCTCGCTCTCCCCGAAGGAATTGCTGTACAGAAAATGCCAAGAGAACCAGGGAGAAGGTGAGGAGGCATCCCCAGACGCGAGAATCTGACCAAGGATAGACAGAACCACCCCATTCGAGCGCCATAAATAGAGCACTAACACCGCCCACTATCAAGAGAGCACCTAATATATCCAAGTCCAAGATTCTATCTAGGATAGTGACTTTGGTGCCAGAATCTTCGTCCATTGGAGATACTTCGCTCCGAAAGAAAATCAACACTGTTGCGATGACGATAGCTCCAATTGGAAGATTAACCTGAGATTATGTTTAAGAACGCAAGTTACTAGCCACGAAGGAGGATTGGAAATACATACCCAAAAACACATCCTCCAAGAGACCCCGTCGGTTAGAGCACCACCCACAGTAGGACCTAGGATCGAGGAAATGCCAAACATACTCGAAACTATGGCAATGTAGAAGGATCGTGTTTCCAGAGGTACCGTCCTGGTAACGATGGTCATACTCCCAGCAAACACACCCGCTGCTCCAGCCCCTGCAACAGCTCGCCCCGCTATAAACATAGCAGAACTATCTGCTGCAGCGCAGAGGACAGATCCGAGCTCAAATGTTGCAATCGCAACACAAAAGACAGGTTTGACTGAAAATACAGTGTAACATCGACCGAATGATGGCTGAACTGCGCTAATAGCTAGCATGTAGGCTGAGCCATACCAGCCCACTTGCTGGATGGTGCCAAATGTACTCGTGATGGATGGCAGTGCGGTGGCGATTATGTTGGTGTCGAGAGCGACAACGAAATTCGCAAGGCAGACCCCACAGATGAGGACGAAAAATGTGATCCGAGGTAAGCGAACGACATCTGGGGGACACGTGGTTGATGATGCTATTGATACGCTGCTTCTTCGTTCCTTTGCAATCTCTTCTAGAGTGATGGTAGTTTCTTCCATTTTGTTTGATGGAACGCCGCTTTCTACGTCCTTATTCAACGCCTCTGGCATCTCGCTCCTTTCTGTGTTCATTCCGAGTATAAGTCAACTGAACGAAAAGAGAATGTTTTCGATGAATCCCACAGAAAAGAAAATATAACAAGAGTTGACGGAACAAGCAGATGACCAGAAGTAAACGATATCTAAGCTGAGTTCCCAGCTACCTCTACGGTCGCTTGGATGATGGTCCTGGGGCTTCATAGATGGGAGGGCTAAGCTTTGTTCATTTCACCAATATGGTAGTTGAATTACCGTATTTGGAAACACATTGTGTAAAAGGAATAGCTTTTACCAAATCAAGATCTTACCGACAAGATTCCGAGAGCTTAGCGAAGCACGGAGCGTCCGTTAGTATTGAAATTGTCTATCCAAAGAAAATGGATATGCTTCGAATTTTCGCGCTATCATTTTGATTTCAGGGACTCAAAATTGACAAAGCTGAGAGGTCTAGGCCTGTGGAGACATGGTGCAACAGTGGTTTGGTATAGTGACGAAGATTCTCGTTAACGGGGCTAGCCGTTTTGCAACCAAGCTAAACTCAATAAGGTAGCCATCTGACCCAACAAGGAAAGCCCCCGAGCGCTGTCATGATGCCTGATTGTATCAGATTGCATTAGAATAGACTGGATTGGACCGCACACTAATCTAATAAAATTGCTGGGTTTATATAGCTAAATTCTTGTAGTCTTCAAGATTGTGTCACTTTGTTTACGCTTTCATTTTCCGCATCTCAACTACAATCATGACTATCATTCAAGACAGGACTACGACACTTCACGCGGCAGCTGAGAATCTTGTCAGCAACATTCTAGAACGTTTCAATGGAACCCATGCTTCAAGCCTCATGAGCTGTGCTGTTTATGACACAGCATGGCTAGCCATGATTCGAAAACCGCTCGCAAACGACACCTCACAATCGATCTGGCTTTTCCCTGAGTCTTTCACGTACATACTGGATTCACAGCTTTTAGATGGCGCATGGGAGTCTTACGGCAGCCATAGCGATGGGATACTGAACACAGCAGCCTCAATACTCGCGATGCAGCTCCATCATGACGAACCAGCTCAATTATACGGCGTTACTGCCCTTGAATTGTCAGAACGCATTGATCGCGGGTGCAAAGCGCTACAACGTCTCCTGAGCTCCTGGGATGTCCAAGCTTGTGTCCATGTTGGATTCGAAATTTTGGTTCCAAAGCTATTGAGGCTGTTAGAAGAGAAGGGTCGAAAATTCAAATTCGACGGCCGTTGCAGCCTGATGGCTCTCAACAAGGAGAAGCTTGCGCGCTTCCGACCAGATATGGTCTATGGGAAACTGCTTACAACTCCCTTGTATTCTTTGGAGGCATTTGATGGAATCGACTCGGAAAAAGTGAAGCACCACAAATCCCTTGGGGCACTTATGGCATCAACCTCGTCCACAGCTTCATACTTGATGGGCCTGAAGACCTGGGACGATGAAGCAGAAGCCTATCTAAAGCGCGTAGTGTCTATAGGACCAGGCAGAGGAAGTGGAGGGGTACCGGGAGCGTTTCCGACAACCTATTTTGAAATGACCTGGGTACGATTTGCCTGTCTCTTTCAAGAACATGAGCCTTTACAGCTAACATATAACCTTTTACTGAACTTAGGTTTTGACGACTCTATTGGAAGCTTCATTTACACCAGAACAACTGGGCAAGGAAAACTTAGAGCAGATTACACAGGTATTGAATAAGGCTCTTGAGGAAGAGGGAGGCATCTTGGGGTTCTGTAAGCTTTCCTGGAGACTTTGCAGTACTGTATACCACAGACACTGACACTATATGTATAGCGCCAAGAGTTGGGGTCGATGCCGATGACACGGCCAAAACTATGCTGACCTTACGTATGCTTGGTCATCATGTGGATCCTTCCGCCCTGCTACAACGTTTCGAGACAGAGGATCGCTTTCTAACCTATCAGTTTGAGCGAACGCCGAGTTTCAGTGCCAATTGCAATGTGCTGAGCGCCTTGCTTCATATGCAATCCCCTGAACAATATGCTACTTCTATTGGAAAAGCTGCCAGGTTCATCTGTAATTGGTGGTACACCGCGGATGGACAGATTCCAGATAAATGGGTATGCAAGTGTGATCCACTATCGTATTGGAGGCTGATTTGACTGGAAACAGAATACGACTATGGGTTACAATGCAATGCTGATGGTGCAGTCCTTAGTTCGATTGCTGGAGCAGTGGAATGAGGGTAAACTTCAACTGCTTGATGACGAACTCATCTTCGAGCTTATTCCGCTTGCAATATTTCAAGCACTCCTACGCTGTTTAGCAAAACAGAAACCTGATGGAATGTGGGGGAACTCTGCAGAGGAGACAGCCTATTCCGTAATCATCCTCGCAACCGCAGCCAAACTTCCATCTGCAGAGCCATTGCTGACAAAGATCAACGGAAGCATCGAAAGTGCTCACAAAGCTCTCCTTCTCTCGGGTGTAGATAGTCAAGCCAGCTATATCTGGGTAGGAAAGACTTCGTACAAATCCGAGATCCTCTCAAAAACCTACATTCTGGCAGCGCTGAACTCAAGCGCTTCCGCACCAATGACTGGAGATAGGATTGCATCATTGTCCACTACCTCGGCAAGCAAGACTGCCTCATGGGTGAAGTTTTACTCGGGCCTTCCAGGAATTGCCCAAACACCTGATTGGATGCTACTTGCGTCTATCATCGAGGGGTCGCTTCAGTCTCGTCGCTTGCTTCGTAAGTGTAAAGAAGCATTCCCGGAATACAGCACAGACGTCCCAGAGAGAACTCAGCAGTACTTGGAGTATATTCCGGCGGTATGGATAATCTGCAGTAACAAGGACAGTATATTTTGCTCCTCAAAAATATTGTAGGTTTCCCCTTATCCTCCTCTCCCTCTCGCGCTGTGGACTCAAATCACTGCCATTCAATGCTTTACTTCCAGCATCCGCATGCTGAAGATATAAAGAAGGGTTTACTAATGTCAAGGGTTTAGATTTGATATGATGATTCTATCCTTTCTCACTTACAAAATCGACGAATACATGGAAACTATCGCCACTGTCGGAAACGGCGGACTTGAAAACTTGAAGCAGACCATCTCTAAGGCGTTCAGTTGTACTCAAATTCCCGAACCTACTCAGATATATACCTCATCGCCGACTGATAGCGTCGAGAACACCTTAGCTCATTTTGTCAGCTACGTTATGCGCCTTCCTACAGTCATCAATGCAACCGAATATGACAAGGATAGGCTCCGACAGAAGCTTCGCATCTACCTAGACTCTCACGTCGATCAAATTATCCAAGATCAGCTTTTCTCCAGCGAAAACGGCGCGGGTACGACTCCAAGGAACAACTCCATGGCCAATTTGCACCATTGGGTCCATGGCGCAGCATCATCGTCGACATCCTGTCAACACGCCTTCAATCTTCTTCTCTGTAGCCACAGCGGTGACGGCGATGTTTTCGACACTGCAGAGCAGGAGTATCTTGCTGAGAGCCTCAGCAATCATTTGGGGGCAATGTGTCGGATTGACAACGATCTTGGATCCATGGCGCGCGACAAAGCGGATGGAATCCTTAATGCTGCGGACTTTCCTAAGATGAATGCTAGATTAGGTGCCAAGACTCAACTACTGAATTTGGCTCGCTGGGAACGGAAACAAGTCTCAACTGCGCTGGAGGGTTTGTCGAAGGTAATGGTCTCAGCGAAGCAACAAAGAGTGGGGGAACTGTTACGGATGTTTACAGACGTCTGTGATGTCTATGGGCAGATCTATCATCGCCGTGACCTGTCAGTTGTCGATGCGCCTTGATTTTCTCACAGTGCATGGTCTTGAAAATTATCCCTACCATGTGTTTTAGGTAGAATAGACAAAGAATGGTATTGCAAAGTGTGTACCTAGAGTATCTTACGAGCTAGCTGAGGAAAGATAGTAGCTTGGTACACGGGTTTGGCCTGTACTTCTTTAGCCCTAGTCAAGGTAAAGGTAGAGGTAGTGATAAATCATCTGAGGACTTTCACACATTGTCGCATCACAGCTTCGCGACAAGAGGGAAGGCCAATGGGGGCTCGATAGAGTGTTCATATTAACTGTGAGGTACGCCATGCTGTGTTGGCGCAAAATTGCCCTAGAAGTTCTCTTCATAGTTGTCATTCCTACGAGTTCTGACACCGATATGTGAGTTTGGTTATAGACTAAAAATCTCTAAGCATTTCCATCAATAGGGATGCACCTAACTAAGCATGTATTGTTAATAATGCCCGAGACCTATTCATCTAGTATTGGCTCTTGTGCACTAGGCGTCTATGCAAAGTTAAGGCGCGTAAGTCACGAATGCGCGGATGATCGCCCTAGATAGCTAACCGAGGCAAGCAACTCTAAATCGGTCTCTCTACTTTTGGTTATGGCAAACGATTGAAAATGGACCTCGCTCCACCCTTCTGTACGTATCTAGACCATAGATAAACTGTGTCGCAATACCGCATGGCAAGATTGCAGGCTAAAACAAAAGATCCCTCAAATTAATATTCTCTGCTATTACAGACGGCCTGACCGTCCAGCTCTCTTATATCGTACTGATTTGCAGGAAGTTCCAGAGGCACCGCTCGAACTACAGCAAGTGTAGGCGGCTTTGCATCTGGTATTATCTGCAATTCTGGTTCCTGAACTGCCTTTATTGCCGCGTTACCTACCCTTTGTCTCCGATACAGAATGAAGCCAACGGCGCCAAGTATGGCAAAACCTCCCAACGCACCAGCGACTATCCCGCCGATTAAGCTACCTGACAGCTTTGGCGCTTCGTTTTGTGGCACTAGGATATTGCCGGAAGAGGTTGGCGAAGGTGCGGCATCGATTGATTTACCCGTCGAGTTCGTGCAAAACTCGCTAACCATGTTATTCTGTTTGTCGACTGCGACTACATCAGGGGTCCTCGACCCTATGCTCGCTTGCCAGACGGAAAATCTCTCGGCTTCTTGATTGACCATTATGTAGGCCGAGCTCATGAACAGCCGGCCAAGGACTGGCAGATCGTTGCTATTATAGGACTGAAGTGAATTGATGACGACGTTTCGCACCGATGTATTTGTCTGTACTGCGCCATTGGAGGCAATATATGTGTCGGGAACGACGATTTCGGTGTTGAGAATCTTCACTGAGATGCTGTTCTGAAGCTGGATCGTTAGACCTCCGTAATAACTACCTCATGATCATTAGGTTGTGTAACTTCTGAACAGGGATAAGTATGGTACTTACACGTTGCTCGGATCAAACAGCATTGTAAAATAGTTAATACCGAGGCTTCTTGCCTCAGTCCTGTTATCCGGAGGCGTTCCACCCGTGAGCAATCTGAAGTTGTTGTAGTAGTTCAGTGGAAGTGTCATTAGTCCCGCAAAGCTAGGACTTATACATGCTTGTATCGCCGCTGATTGTGACCCCATAAACACGCTCATGTCGGTACCGTTTGGCCAGTTCAGAAGAATGTCGCTGATCGTTACCACCATGCCCGTCCCACAGCGGCTGCCTCGGAACAGTGATGCTGTGAAGTTGTCATTGGGATCTGAAATTAACGATCTGTCTAGACCGCCGAGAACCAATGACCCTCGAGTCTGCTTCTCGGCGGGACCACCCACGAGCCCCCAAAATATGGAGTATACTTTCGTACCTATGTTACCAGCGGATACGAGTGCTTGTAAGAACGATGAGTTCCTGCCCAAGCCGAGCTGTGATTGACTCGTGAAGGCCTGATTGAGGTCTTGTTTCGGAACACCGAATCCAAACGAAGAAAGCGACGTGTTAATGCCGAAGCTTAGATTATCTTCCATCCAGTCCGCTTTGAATCCATCACTATCCTTTCGACTGCTGATTGACTTGTCTGTAGACGATTTTGATGCATCGTATGCTCCGCCACGGAATGTTACGCATGCTTGCGATGAGTAGGAATCTGTACAGAATCCATCCATTCCATAAATATAGGTCTCGTTGTAATCTCTATATGCCGCACTGGTTAGCCATGCAGAATCTTTAACATTTCTTAGCATGTGTGTTGTAAGACTTACCCGCTGGCAAAAAAAGAGATGTTCTGATTGTTGGAACCGACAGTCATGGATATTCCCCTCACATAGGCTCCATTCGGTAGAGATACATTATGAATAGGTGCAACAATGGGCTGTGGCTGGCACTGGCTATGAACAAAGGTGATAAAATACAAGACTCCCAGAGTCAGTAAGAACATGCCCATTGCAATGGCGATGTTGAAGTTGATGACGCAGAGAAGTACTCGAAGGCCAGTAACTGGTGGTATAGAGAAATAATAAAGCGGCAAGGTACTTTCAGCCGATAGCGCTTAAATGGGTAGCAGCGCATGTTCATTCGAATTTGGTGTTATGTTGCAGTCAGGTTATACTAGTCCACCAACGAGCGAACATTGTTAAGCGCTGCCAAACGCTGCTTAGCGCCGACGCCGACCTCCCCTGCGCGAATCTAGATATTAGTTGAACTGTGCCGCAATGCCACATCGCGAGACTGCAGGCTACAACAAAATCTCTCCTTTGTTTGTCGCAAGAGGCAACCCCCCATATCTTCCATGAGAAATGCCTTAGGCCGTGCGATCTAGTTGTTCTTCATCCCCTAGTAACCAGCATCTCCTTGTTCCTCTGTATATCACCTACACACGTGCGTGTGAAGCATCTGGAGTACCCAAGATCACTAGCCATCACGCAATGATGCATTCCCGCAAAAAAATCGAATTCGTGGTAGTAGCAGTGTTTATGCTCTGCATATGGTTCATCGTTGACGCGCACTTTAATAATGTTCAAGAAGAAACTGTTGAGGCTGGCGTTGCCGAGAAGCCATGGCGATATGAGGCAAAAGAAGGAGAAGAAGAGTATAAGACCTCTGATCAGGAAATCGCCCACGGTGTCACGGAAGAAACGCCATTGGCAATCATCACCGCTCATCATCCAAGCACTCCGGCGCAAAGCCATACGGTCGCAACACCTAGCCCATCTCTACCCGATCGCGTCGTAGTAATGGCAAAGCTTCCCACTGACGACACGCGCTGGGTACATACCGACCTACCAGACTGGCAATCAGCCATCTACGACATTGACACTGAGACCCCGCACAAGACATCGAATCTGGACCCACTCACAAACAGTACTCTGCGTACGCTTCGGAACAAAGGAATGGAAGCGAATGCTTACCTCGCATACATTGTACAAAATTACGATAATCTCCCTTCAACGATCGCCTTCATTCATCCGCACAAAGACGGCTATCCAATCGCCTGGCATACCGACAACAGCGAACATTCGAATGTAGTCTCTCTACAAACCCTCAACATCAACTTCATTCAAAGCAATGGTTACGCGAATTTGCGTTGCGTTCCTGATCCCGGCTGCCCACACGAAGTGATGCCGTTCCGAGATCCGCCGGAGGAACATCGAACAATCGAAGCAGCAATGCCAGATGCGTGGCGAGACTTGTTTAACAATACTGATGTACCGCACATATTGGCCACTCCTTGCTGCGCACAGTTTGCCGTGTCGAGCAAGCAAGTGAGGAAGCGGCCTTTGGACGAATACAAACAGTACTATACGTGGCTGATGGAAACACCCCTAAAGGATGAGACCAGTGGGCGGGTGTTTGAGTATCTTTGGCATATTTTGTTTGGCCAAGAGCCGGTCTAGTAAGTACTCGGGGAGTTAGAATTGCGATGCGCGGTTGCTGACTTTGATTAAGCTGCCCTGCATACGAGAAGTGTTATTGCGATGTGTATAACAAATGTTGAAGTATCCTTGTTTCGTGTAAGATCGGCAAAACCTGGGAATTTGTCGGCGATACGTTCGATCTCAACTGAAAGATCGAAGCCGGTGTGGATATACGTTCAAGATCCTAGCACGAAGATGCAACGTGCCGTCATCATTCTGAGCAAAGCATGGCACGTGGAAACACTATCCATACCAGATGAAAGCCATGACTTGAAGCCCGAAAGTCTTTTTTGGTTTTGTACGGACCGGACGGTCGTATGTCGGGTAAGACTTGCCTAGCGCAGCAAATTGGGTATCGGGTCGACGATTTGGATCAACACGAGTGGCGAGAGATTCGGCAGACGTACACAGTAGCAGCCCGAGGGCTCTATTGGTACTAGGCTCGTGTTGATGGAGTTAGTGAGGTGCTAATATGTGCCGAGGTAGAAGCGCATGCAGGGCCGTGTATCTTGGGCCTGGCTATGTTTGGTAGGTATCACGCATCTGTGGATTGTGTGTTGCCGTAATTAGAGGCGGAGCATGTCCAAAATACCTTGGGTTAGTGTACGTAGTGTATCAATATGTAGTACAGTGTTGCTGAGGGAAACTTTGCAAAACAGTCGATGAGTGAACGAATGCCAGGCTGATTGCTACCAATCCACAAGGTCGTGTGTTTGTGCAGTGCATCTACACCCAGAATGCGTGAGACGAAATGTTTGATGGGCCACGAATGGAGCAGAATCGCAGAAGTACTGGGGCAGAAGGTCGAGTGCACAGAGGCGATTGATGACGTGACTCAGGGAGAGTGGTGGTGATTAGCGGCGGGAGACAAGGAGGGGCGGGACCATAAGTGGAGAGAGAGAGTTGCAAGCTTTCTCTCGCTTGCACTTCCTCCACCCTCGCCCCTGGCCCGCGCGATGATGAGCAGACAGCCACGAGCTTCATTCGCTCTCGTATTCTTCTCGGACACGGTTGATTCCCCGCATCTGATGTCGCAAGACCAGCGGCCGTTGCTCTCATGGCCATGCCTTCGCTGGTCGCCAGAGCAAAAGAGGTCCGCGGAGTCCAAGACGACATGGCAATCAATTGGGTGCAACAGGCACAGGTCACCATATAAAGAGTCGGATAACTGCATGGGGCTTTGCACAACGTGTGCCACTCGCAGCGGGATACTTCCAAAGCCGGTTTCTTGGTCCAAGCCACACAGTTTGCTTGCCCGTCAGCCGCGACTGTCTCGAAGATCGCTCGTGTCGCGGCGTGGCAGCCCATGGCAGACGACATTGAGGTTACATGGTAGTGGCTGGTCTTCGGGGCGCAATGAAAGGCTGTCGCATCAGTTTCGAGAAACGAGAGTGCTGTCAAGCACAGAAGATCGACAGCTTGCTACGTCCTAGGTTGGGGCATCCTTGGGAGCGAAGGCGAGTGTGGGCCCAGCTTGGAATAGTTCCTGTGCAAGGAACGTGAACGGGTATGCTCTGATGACCTCACCGTGACTGTCAGCCTTCCGGCAACTAATCAACCCACTACTCGGCCATGGGATGAAAGCGCAGTCGATTAGCCCAATGGGCTAAAATAACTCGGTTAGGGCCTCGCGTGTTGTATCAGCCTGTCCTGCAAACAGCGTGGGGGGTGCGGCACGGTTGTGCAGTTGTGCTCACCCATGTCTCTCCTTCTCTAACATGCTGTACCTCTGCGCCATCGTGAGCGCCCATTCACTCTCACCTCACTCTCTCTGGCTTCACACGCCAGCTTTCTTACCTCGCCAGGCCTGGTTTCGCTCCATCACTGCATTCATCTATCACTCCATTCTTCCTTCTATCCTTCTCTCGTAGCATTGACCTAGCCAATTATGTCATCTGCACTGGTGCTGCGGCGAATTGTTGTTGTCGCTGCCCTGGCAATCTCTGCGACTGCTCAACAGTGCTGTAAGATACTTTCGACTATTTCTCATGCACCATCACTAATTGACAACAGACTACCCCAATGGCGACAGGGCCCCCGACACTGAACAACCTTGCTCCTCAGCAGAAGGCTCAGCCTGCTGTCCGGAAAAATGGCAGTGCCTTGACAATGGCCTTTGCCACTATCCTGCCAATAACCTGTACGGCAGATATAGCTGTACCGACAAGAGTTGGAAGTCGGAAGGCTGTCCGTCCAACTTGTGCACCTACGGTGAGGCGTCTGACAACTCCATCTCGATAGGTCTAACAAGCATTAGATCTCAAAGCTGCTGGTGGCGAGTCAATAACACAATGCTCCGACCACAACGATCAATGGTGCTGTAACGCTGATGCTGTGCACGTCAATTGCTGCCAAGAATCTCCATCTCCGCGACCCTTCTTTGCCCTGCAGGATCCAGCAGCATATGCCACCATTGGCTCCATGACAGCATCAACCGTACCAAACCTTGCAAGCATAACAGGCCAAGCAAGTGGAAGTGGCTCTGGAGATCAGATGTCAACATCGCCAACATCTGCGTCCCGGTCTTCACCATCTTCGCCCGCATCCTCGCCGCGAACTACAGATACCCTATCCTCTCCTACCTCACGTGATTTATCCGCATCGGCAAATTTGCGCTCATCTGCTACACCATTCACTTCAGTATTTTTCAGTCTTTCATCAGGATCTACTGGATTTGTCAGTGTTCCTGTCACAAGCGTCCTCACACCTACTCCAGGTACTAGCAACGCAGCAGACGGTGGCAGTATTGGGGGCGGATCAAACTCGAATTTGGGATTGATAATTGGCTGCGCAGTGGGCATTCCTTTGGGACTTGCTTTGATTGGCATTATCTTCTTGCTTTTCCGAAAGAGGCGCCAACAAAAGAGAGACCCCTACAGCAAAGCCGACGGAGCGGATGAAGACAACTCAAACATTGCAGGTGCTGCTGGCACCAAACTGACAAAGAAGGAGATGTACCGCAACTCCGCGTCTGCTGCTGAAATAGATGGAAACCCTGTAGGCGTTGGGCGGCCAGTCTCCACCATACAAGGCCACGCAGAACTGGCATCAGGAAATGGATTCCAGGCTGGACACGGCACGCCCTACGGACCAGATGCAGTTGGCATCGGTGGCGGAAACCTCCATCCAGATCGAAACAATTGGAATACTTTTCCACCCCAATACTCACCGGGGCAAAACCAAGCGGCGTTCAATTATCCAGAAGCGAGCGAGCTAGCAGATACAAGCACAAGGCCAACCGTCGATGAGAAGGGAGAACAACAATATGTGGCATACAGACCGCAACCAGCAGCAGAGATGCCGACTATAACGACTCCACCCGAGGATGTGGAAAAGAATCTGCATTCGTAGAGAAGGGCCAAAGCTTGGATGCGTTTGACGTATAACCTGCGAGTACGTGGTGCGGTGCGTGACACCGATCTGAACTTTTCTTTTGTACATATATCATAGGGGGAAATGGCACGTGTAAATGAGGACGTCGCCGATACGATGGCTGGTCATTTGGAACTTTGAATAATATCTAATGGAGATGGGACTTGTTTATGATAGCTGACTTGAATACCATATGCCATGACTTGAATTGATTGCACAAGCAAGTGTTGAGAGTGTACCACGTGACGGGACTTGGCACACGTGACCGGAGGATGGCGGTGTGTAGTACTAGTACAAATTCAGTATGTATGGAGTGAGCGAGTCATGTCACTCGGCCCTGTCGTCAGCCCTCGAAAGGGCGCTCAGCGATATTGCCAGATAACCGTGTCGCATCCGGTATTTACATGCCAGGTGCTCGCTCTACTACCTCCTCATGTCGTCTTACACGTCCCCATATTGTCAAGCATATTTCAGTCACTATGGAATACTTGCCAGATGAACTTGCGCTCCATATCATCTCATGTAGGTGCTCGGAGATAGCATGCGCCCCCCATCCATCCCGACCCCCACTCTAACCGACCAACTTCCTAGACCTCGAACCCTCTGAACTCGCCAACCTCCAGCACGTGTCCCGCCGTTTCCTACACATCTGTCGCGATAATAATATATGGAAGTCTCTGTGTTTCGCGCATTCTGCTGCTGAGCGCCGTCGTCGCCGTCTCGAGTTGTCGACGGACATTGACCCGCGACTTGCTGAGCTCATCCGCGCCGCCGACACGCTCTCGACTACATTTGACACATCTGGTCACCATGCTGATGGTTCCAGCGCTGAGACAGAGCAGCAGAGGGATAGAGAGAAGAGACGACAGGCCTTGATTGCCAACTGGGATCCAAGCTATCCCGAGGAAAAGGTCAATTGGTACCAGGACTTTATACAGAGGCATGCCGAACAGCAAATGAGTTGGTTCCAAGATGCAGGAAGTGAGGACACAGACGGTGGAGCTACCAGGAGAGATGCTACGGGTGCAGGCATCTTGTTCGACCATGATGGGCTGGCGGAACACCTCATTGCACCCATCGACGACGGCAGTATAAGCATCTGGGATGCTTCGGCAAGTAGCGAACGCTTCGGCAAGCTCGTTGCGAAGAGCGATATTGGTTTGCTGCCTGGAAAGAGCTCCGACTTGGACTACGATACGAGGGTCACACAGAGTCAAGCCATTATGACGGAAACAGGCGCTGTCGAGTGTGTGAGCATCGATAGCAAACTGCACAAGGGCTTCTTCGCTGTTCAAAACATGTTGAACGAAGTTGACCTCAATGTTCTCAAGATAGTGTCGAGGACACCGTATCCGTTTCCTATAACGGCTCTGTCCGAAGCTCATCACCAGACACCGCTGACGGTTGGGACAAATTGGACGCTGCATCTTCATGACACCCGAAAGCCTCCACAGGCCGCATCTTCGATACGCTGTGAGCTCATTGGCGGCGCGACTGATACTTCTTTTTCCCGCCTTGAAACGGGGGACTTTGGCGGTCATGTTTCACTCTCACAACCAGGCGCGCTTTCCATTCTGCACCTACCTACAGCGCGCGAGTGGGACGGCAATGGAGATATCTGGGTCGGGGGGCGCTTTACAAGCATGCTCAACTTTGACCGCAGGTACTTCCCCCGGCTCCGCGGTACCGTGCACTCTGGCGCCCGACTTTCATGCATAACAGTCATCCCATATCCTTTTGTACCGCAAGACCTCCGACTTGGCCGGCCGCATTCATCGCCCGCGTTGCTGCGCAAAGTCAAGGCTCTCCCTGGCCATACTTTAATCGCAGCAGGGGAATACAAAGGAAAAGGCTCACTTGAGCTGTACGGCCTGTCCACCGAGCCATCACTGTCCATTAACTCGAGCGATAGCCGCACAACAAGTAACAGGAATGCGTATTATCAGAATAGGCAGACGGCCAGTAGTTCAAAGTTACTTTCTGTTGCACCGCATGGTACTCGACTAGTCTTTTCAGATGGCGACGGCAACATGAAGTGGGTCGAGCGTGACGGCTCAACACCCGTCCGCCAATTCAACATTAACGACTTTCAACACCCATCCGCCGAGCCTGCACCACAGTCTCAACTTGTCAATGCACAGCCGGATACACAAGCCGGTTGGGGCGATATCGTGCAAAAGATTCTGCCCACTGTGAACCAATCTCTGCTTTGCCCTCACTCTCCCTCCTCAACCGAAGCACTTGGTCTCAACAACCTGATATTGTGGACTGGGGACGGCAAACTAGGCACGGTTGGCTTTGGGCGCGACCCACCATTTGAAAGGGATGTGTTTGAAGATGCGCTTGAGCAGCAGGGCAATGATGCAGGGGAAAAGGTAAGAGAGAGAGAGTACAGTGCTGGGATGAGGAGAGCGCTAGAGCACCAGGCGAGGGAGTTGAGGTGGTTGAGAGGATATGGACTGTAGAGTAGGGGTGTATAGACAACATGGTCATGATTGCTGTGATAGAAATAAATGTACAAGTTAGATAGTAAGAGCCATGTTCACAATTGCATGAGTACGATGAGATCATCAACTCGACTGGACGCAACGGGTTGGTCATTTAGCGCGGACCCTTGGTTTTCGTTCCCGTATGCCGCGCGCCACCAGATAACATCGCTTCTGCCATCTACCGCGTTTATCCTCGTCCCTGTCTGCTGTTTCCTCGTTATGAATAGGTTTACGAACATGATGCTCCATCCCCATTGTGTGTCGTTTTCATGTTCGGCTATGCGGCACGTCGAGCGCCTAGCCAAGACGCGTCTCCAAGATGATCGTACTCTCACATGCCAAACGCGTGACAACCAGTAACGTATACACGCGGTCCTGATTAGCTGCATACCGGACGAATGAGGCGCTCTTTACAACGTGCTATACGCGGTGAATATGTCTTCATCCAGGTGCTATAGTTGGCGAGCTGACAGTTACGTACAGGATGGCTGGTCTTACCCCTCGGCAGACGCCCCTCTCGCTTGCGATCCTATCCCTTCCTCTTGCAAAAGCCAGCCAACAATGCGCAAGGAATCAAACCACCAAAAGATGATAATCGTGATGAAGAACGGAGCAAGTTTGCTCGAAGCGTCCTTGAAGGAAGCACCGTTGCTCTTATATCGTTATTTGGTCTAGGCCTGGGTGGCTACGCATACAGCCTGTTCTACAAGAGAACAGTAGGGAGGAAGATTGAGAATGCCTTTGATCCAGGGTACAGCTCGCAAGAGCGAGTTGCCCTCGGTCGCGTCGCATACGGCACTGAACCAGAAAAGACACGAGAGATTGTGGAGCGGGAATACTGGGTCCCCAGAGCCGAACAGCCGGACATTGACAACATCGTGAACGGGAAAGCAAGAGGGAAATACTACCTCGTCATTGGTGAACGAGGTACCGGAAAGAGAGCATTGCTTTTGGAAGCTATGAGAAAGGTCAACGGCGATGGTATCGCCATGCTAGAAGCTCATAATGATTTAGAAGTGTTCCGCCTACGTCTCGGTAAAGCTATCGACTACGAGTTTCATGAAGACTATATTGGTGGCTTATTCAGCATCAGAGGCCCAAGAGATAGCTCGCCACTTCTGGATATTGAGAGAGCACTCAACCAGTTGGAGAAGGTAGCTTGGTCGATGCGAAAACGGCGTGGAAAGCCCCTGATCATGATTATCAACAACATTCACTTGTTCAAGGACGATGAACCAGGCAAGCATTTGTTGGAGATTCTCCAGCAGCGCGCCGAGATTTGGGCGGGTAATGAGCTTGTCACAACAGTCTTTACGTCGGATGAGTTTTGGACGCTTGAACGCCTGACACCGCACGCGACCAATATGGGTGTTATGAGTATCAGGGATGTACACAAGGACACCGTTACCAAAGCACTCAAGGAATACAGAGCTCGATATCACAACGAGGATACGCCACAAAGCATTCTTGATGAAGTCTTTGCCCAGGTGGGTGGTCGCCTCATCTTCTTGAATCAGGTCGCAAAATCACAAGACATGCTGGAAACTTGTCGCCAAATCAACCGAAGAGAAAAATCATGGTTCCTGAACAATTGCTGGATTCTTGGCGACTCCATGGACGACGACGTTGAGGAACAACAGAAATACTGTGCTGCAGCCATCATCTTGGCGCGCGCTCTGGTTCTCCGCGAAGAAGACTCTGAAGGGGAGGAATTCATGCTCCCCGAGATACCCCTCCACGAAGCGCGACAAATTATTACACGAGCGGACTTTGTACACCCGTTTGATCACATCAACGTTGTTCACATCGATGCACACGGCATGGTGCGCGCAGATTCCGTCCCTATGCAAAACGCCTTTCGAGATGTCGTCAAGCAACCTGGTTTCGAAGAGCATTTGAAAGCGACACTCAACCGGCTAGATGAGTTGGAGAGTTTAGCGCGGACAAGGGAAGTTGCGGTCAGAAAGCTGCCTGATCGGAGCGGAGGCATTGTCCCTGTACAAACTTATTGTGCCAAGCTGTGAATGGGACTAGTAGGATGATAGGAAGAAGGGAGTATCCATACTGGTCTCACAGGTATCATTATATGTATTACCTCGATTATGTGGTGTATATTAGCTTGTCCAACTGGCTGGCACAATGTTAGTCATGAAATTTACATTTTGTGAGCCTATATATTGTTTGGGTTCTCGAACATTGCCTGCCACTCTAAGACTCGCAGACTTCAGCCTATAGGCTGCTGCAGCAAAATTCCGTATGATGTCTGCTGTGTCTGCACAGGTGAGTGGCTGTTTAGAATTAAAATGGATGCTGTTATCAAGATCCTTTTCTGCAAACATGTCTTGAAGTTCTTGGCTTATATGGTACGCTACGTGCATAATACCGTCTGTGTGTCGTGTATTTCGCTCAAGACCAGCTCCTAGGAACTGATTTTGCTAGTAAGAGGTTAATTAGTATTCTATTCCAAGACCAAATTATTCCTGTTTATTGCCAACACTGTTACGTAATTTCAGGTTGGTGTTGTGATTTGCGTTTTAAATTGGCTCTTGAGAGCTGATTTTGCTTGTAAAGAACTATGAAATCTCAAACTACACAGCCGGTTATGTTGCAGATACCCGAAACTAGCACTTTAGACGACTCAGAGACTGTTCCGAGAACTTTTCATGCAAAAAATCCTTGCCATTACTTTGTAATGAGTACGAGCTAGTCCGATAGGAGTGAAGGGACCGTAAGAGTGCTTTCGCGTTTAGCAGGATCTGGTTTCAGAACACAAGGAAAATTGGAACATCAACTATGCCGAGAGGGAATCTCGACAGATAGATTCCAGATGTATAAATCTCAACAGCCGTGTGAAATTTCTACAAAAACATCAACCACATTTACTTCATTACTACATTCCAATCCTACGACCTTTTCAGCTCATCTATCAAACATGATGTTCACCAAGACTCTCATCTTTGCTTTCATTGGCACTGCTCTGGCTTTCCCAGAAGGCGTCCTCGTTTCTAATGGGCTCACCAGGGCACCCAAGGTTATAACACGTGATATTCCACGATCGGAGTTGGCTAAACGAGATTTTGATCCTACTATTATTTCAACTGAAGATCACCCCACGAATCCATTGATGGTTCGGCAAACTTGCAATCCTTGTTCCCCTGATGGTTGCGGTGCTTGCGGCTCTGTAGGTCAAATATACACTGTACATGACTGAAACTAACTTATGATAATATAGACTGGAACATCTGTACGTTATCTGCATTAGCCATTAGAGCTGCTCAATCAACCTCTCTCTCTATCTCTCTCTTCTATCAGCTGTTACTAACTTTTTTCCTTAGCAAACCGTATGATTAATTTTCCCCATCTCATCTTATTCTCAAACTTTTGCTAACATAGGTGCCTATGGAAGTTCTGCTGCAAGGTAATTTTGGGTGCCCCGGAAATCATATTATCCTAACAAAAAAACAGAAAGAATTCTGCGGAGCCATTTGCAGATAAACCTTGGAAGGATATCAAAGAAGTTCAATGGTATGAGATTACTTCGTACAAGAATTGAGCTTAGCTAACTAGACGCTAGGCAAGGTATATGGGCGGGGGACCCTTCCGGTTACCCTCGATTTCCAAATACCGCAGCTAGGAGATCTTTCAAGGTTTGGTGCCGAAGAAGCTTCCTTGAAACTTTCTCCTAATTTTCCTATTGCGCATTCTGGAAATCTACCAATATGTATCTCTACTACTTCAGATACCCTGTAGAAGTTTGAGATGATAGCCCTCGTGTACTCCTTCTAGATACAGGGCAATAAACCTTTAAAAAAATCATGATATTTTTTCTTTTTGAACATTCTGATTATGATTGTTGCTCTCGTTTTATTCATGTTCATGTCGTTTCCGTAGAAACTTTGGCCTTAGAGCTTGAATTTACTACCTCGATCAATATTCAAAATAGATCAATTCTTCATTCTAACCATACAAATCGTTATGTATACTATCAAAAGTTAGCACTCTCAGTCAATTCATACGAATCTCATCAAATTGTAAAGATCAGACCGGCTTGTAGGCTTTCGATGAGTGGTTTGAACCAGTCACAAAACCGGACTCATATTTATTGTGCTCTGGCTTATCTGAATATAAATGTCATGAATAGGTCTGGTGATTCACATTTTTGTCTGTCTCAGCACACTCCAGGTCTGCCGTCTCACTCCGCATGATATCAGTTTGCCGCATTAACTGTCATATATATCTTTGGGTGTATCAATAGAGAATAACGAAGACATGTCAACAAAAACGTCGATAGGTACATCAAGCCATACTGAATTCTTGCATCTGCATTTCGAAATTTATCTATCCAGCTCGGACAACTATTAGTAAGTCGGGTTGGCTTACATTCTCACAGCTTTCTGTCAAGTTTCACTCATTCATGACTTACCGACTCCCCCCCCCCGATTTTCCGCATTTCTCAAACTACAGTATACTAATTATCGAACCTACTGAACGACATGTTCATTGGCAGTATTTTAGGGCTTCCTTTCTCACCTTCTAAGATAGGACATGGAAAAAGGCCTGTCAACACAACCGTTCACTTTCACTATCACCATGCCATTCGCCCTTCATTCCGTCTCATGCACCGCCGTTCTTACCTTTTTCATTTTATCGGCCAATGCTATTCTAGCAAATCAAACTACCTCTATATACCTTCAAATTCCTAACAATCGTAACAGCTCAGCATAGGTTGCGAACCAGATTCTTGTAGCGCGCACTGTGGCAGTGAGGGCTGCCATTGCATCACCAACCCCGAACGAATTCTTTACCTGTCTGTACGGGCCTATAAATTAGAAGAGTCTCGAGGTCACAAGTTCTGGTTATTGTATAGAGTTGTATGCGAATGAAGCACAGTCTATACTGATTCTCGAAACATACCTCACCCATTTCACTTCAGTTTGCATGGACATGACTGCATTAAGCACATCCTGCGAAGATATTTAAAACTACATTAATGTGTTTGCTTCCTTACCACGATTGAATCCCATCAGAAGCCTGCAGGACATTCGACTGTCTCTGTGACAAAGTTCACAAGTCTCGCACTTGGTGAAGGGGAGCCATTGGAAAAGTACAGCGCCCCGCTAGTCAAGGATATAAGTGGACTTGACTCGTGGCCTATGAGGATGCATTGCAAGCCATTGTCTGCTGTTGGCCTACAGGGTGTGTATGCCACTGTACTGCCACCTGTCGACCCTACTCCCCAATAATCACGTGGAAAATATGCCAAAGAAGATAGGGTATTTCCACTATCGTATCTTCCTTGACCAAGCACTCTGTCTATGGAAGATCTGATGAAACAGTTGTTAAGTCCCACAGCGTATTGCTTGAAAATAGATTTGACACTGGAGGACAGTTTTGGACTGTCGTGGAGTGGCGCAGTGAGATAGGAACCGGAGACTGTGTCTTTGACGTTGAAGCATCCATAGATAGGTGCGCAACTACTGCCCGGAGGAGGGGCTTGGAAAGTAGCAGTAGAAGTCGTAGTCGATCGGATAGTAGTGGCTACCACAAGAGTTGTGGCGACCGTAGTAGTGGGAGTTGGAGCAACATCAGTGGCAGTGCTGATTAAGGTCTGAGTCGCGGTGAAAACAGTTGAAGTGGCTGTGATAGAGGTCTCTGTTATTGTGCCAGTTGCAACTTGTGAACATGCGGCTGATAGCAGTGATTCCGGCCAATCAGCAACAGATGCAGGGCGAGACAATGCCGCGCGTTTCGCAGGAGCTGGCAGGATAACAGTCGTGGTTACTCTATTCACCACTGTAGTTGTATCGTAAGAGGTAACAGTAGTAGAGGTTGTAACTAGGTCGGGAGTCGAGGTAACGGTGGAGTCGACAGTGGTGACAGTGGCAGTGCTGATAGTTGAAACAGCGGACACTATACTAGTGGGTGCAACATAGTTGATGTAGGATGAGCAGAACGCAGCATTCTCTGGTTGACTCAAGTATGAAATATCAGAAGCGCAAATGGGCTTGCCGGGATCGGCATCATTCGAGTAGATCTCTGAATAGGCTATCGTGTAGTGATCGTCGCCACGCCATTGTCCCTCGTTAGAGATGATATCCGGTGTGTTTGCCCAAGTAGTGTTGTACATTGAGCATATCTGAGCTTGCGGCACTCCATTCTTCATGAGGATGTACGTGTTGAAAAATCGGCAGATACTCCTGGAATTGAGATGGTCGATATTGAACTGGGTTTCGGCCTCGCAAGCGGTAGCGCAGCGGGATGGATCAAAAGGAGCACCATCGCTGAATTCCTTATAGGTAATGTATGTGTCGCGACCATTACAGTCTGAAGGTGCGTTGACCGCCTTGGTGCCAACGAAGGTACCAGTGTACCCGGGGACTGACTCAGGGACTGAAGGATTACGAACATAGCCGTTGGAGCCAGCAATTACGACATGAAAGTCGTTACGCCACTGACCATCGTTGGTAGCAGTTTCCGGGGAAAGGACAGTGCCCCACAAAACACACTTGATAACAGTAGTTGATGTAGGATTAGGGCACGCTGTGGCAGGAACCTTCTGCGGATCACGCTCGAATAAGATGTTGAAGGAAAGACATCCTGTGGTAGTCGAGCACTTGGCAGCGCAAGCTTCAGTATCGTAAGTGGATAGAGAAAAGTATCCCATGTAGGACTGATCGTACCATGTTAGAATTTCCGAAAACATTCTGCGATTTGTGAGACTCACTGATGTCTGAGAGGACGCCTTTTTGTTCTGGAACACGTTCACATATCCTTCTGGAGTTTTCGCACTACTGGCGGCATCTGAAAGCTCAGAGAAAGCCAGGAATGCCTCTGGGGAATCTGAGGAAGGCACTGGGCCTGATCCGAGCGCCTGGTCGGAGCAATCCCAATCGCGCTTCAAAAATTTTGCAGAAGGGTTTATGATATCGCTGAGGGCTCCTTCTCCCATAGGAATAGTTATGGGAGGAGACACCTCATCGGGCTCAACTACAGCGCTCAGGTCTATGTGTTGAGGGATTGGAGTTGCTGCTGCAAGCGTTATAAGTGCAAGGATTGCGACTGATTTCCTCATCGTAGACAGTGGAATATTTGAGACAAACGAGTGGAATTGTGGTACAAATCTCCACTAGGAGTGAGCAGATCCTATGACGAATCGTAAATGAGCGCTGACGTTGTGTTCATCCACCAGAGAGCGAGGCCGATTTATTTGTAGCGGAATTTTGGTATGGTATTCCCGCTGATCTAGTACTCATGCCTTTCGGTCAAAAGAATTAAAATACTTTAAGCATGTGCCGTTGTGATGCCAAGAGTTGAGGAGGCCCGAAGAGAGTAGTAGATACTTTTCGAAGGCCTGGCCACAACAGGCTAACCAAATTTGGACATGAATACTGAAGGCGGCCGGAAATTGGCATGAATTGAGCACCTATGTCTCGGGCACTAGAGTGTGGAAATTATGTGGCGGATAATCCATGTAGTCGTTAGTACACTACGTCCAGTATTAGCACAGACTAGTATTAGTCCAGACCCCTATTTTGGAAACATCTGTGTTTGGGTTCAACGGAGGCGCCGATCACTAGACTGTATTGCAACATCCTTGACCATGTCGAGAGCAGAGATCGCTGCGCCGACATCTTCGATTAAGCCAGAGAAGACCAAACTGAACGTACCAAAACTCCAAGGAATATGGCCTCAGATCACTATTACGGTATACTATATCGGCTGCTCTCGGACACGTGGAATGCCATCGTCACTTCGCATTGCGCGAAAGACGAGAATAACGGCGCATAGTCGCTTGCTGTATTGTCAGCGCTGTCTACGGACGGCAGCTAAGCTGTGTCATGTCCGCCACAATCTCAATGGAGCTTAGCAGCGAATTCCGCCTGCCGTCCCTCGACATCTCTGACATGCCGTGTGCTTTCACGCTTGTGATTTCTAGTCAGTTGATATATGCCGTGAGGATAGATTGTAGTAAGGCAGCAACTTTAGTTGTATACAACAAATCCGGTTCGAGTTCCTTCATATTGCATGTTCGGCTAGAAATAAAGGTACGCAATCATCAAGTTGAATTCGTCGTATACCACCAAGACCGGAGCACCACCCAGAAGTACACCTCTAGAAGTGCCATAACCATGTGCCCTTGAAATCGCAAAAAAAAAAAAGCTTCGCACTCTACGCTAAGCTTTCCAATGACTCGCTGCTCCGAGAATATGTTTTCTGGCCTCCTCTTCCGCTGCAGCAAAAGCTTCCGGCTTCTTCTTTTTCTCGTCCCTCAGCGTATGTTTCTCCCAGTCCTTCAAGACCTGCAGCGTGGCTACAACAAGTGCCTGATCTACTTCTGAAGATCGTATGTAAATTGCTTCATCAGGCAGGTTTTCTGCAGTATTGTCGATTCCGCCGTCCCAAAAGCAGTGGTCTGCGACGATATGGCCGTACAGCGGATTCGGATTGTATCCTGAAGCGACGAACAGCGCATGCCTGAGGGTATCGTACCTTGCGCCATCAATGGAGGACACTCTGCTGCTCGTGACCCATATATAGGCGTGCCGGTCGGCCCCGATAAATCTCAAGGAGTCGTAATTCAGCGCATGTACGTATGTTGTCATGATGTCTCTGGAGTTGGATCCACTTGGCGTGAGAACTTCAGACTTTCGCATGTTGGTTTTGGGATCTATTTTGAGCTCATATGTCCACGTAGAGGCGTGCTGTTTGCTAGCCTTCGTCCCAAGATTCTCAAGTTGCTCATTGCACGTCATGGTCCAGGATAACTTTGGGGTACGAAAGCTGCCGCCAACAGATTTGAACTTGAAAGAAAAGGCTGGAGGTACGGATCCTTGTCCCTTGTCTGAAGGCCGTTTTCCGCTCCATGTAGACGATGTCGGCGTATCGAGCCAACAAGAACCCGAGGCATGTTTGCCTCCCCGACCGGCGTACAGTGTTTGAAGTATGGGTGGTGGAGTCCATTGTGGAGGATAAGGTGCTTGACGATATGTCTCTACATAGGAAGGCAACGAAGAATGATCCAGAGTAACGGGCGGTTGGCTCACGGGCTGCTGGTCGGGGTAAACTGGTATCGGGAGAGTTTGCTCTGGGTGTTTTGGGCCTGAGTACGGGATGGGAAAAGACTCCGCCACAACTTCTGGTAATGTACTGAACCTAGTCGTATCTATCTTCTGAATATGATTGAGAGATCCTGGACTCCATGGTGCAGCATGTGTCCCTACGCTCTTTGAATGAGGCCGTAATGACTGCGCAGATCGGTGGTGCGTTATGGGTATTGAAACCGAGTTTCGAGGCGCTACACCACATGGAGATTGATTATTGGAGTAGGACACGCTTCGAGAATGTGGTCGCAGCGTTTGTACAGACCGGTGTTGGTGCAGTGATGGTGTCAGGTGTTGGGGGTCTCCAGGAAACGGGTTCGTCAACGTTGTAGAGTTTGTGACCTCTAGTTGCGACATCCTACGCGCCAGGAGTTCGTCTTGCTTCAATTGCTCTTCAGACGTGGTTGTTGGTGGGGCTGATGGTAATGGTGCTGGTAATTCTGCGATTACTGGCGCTGGTTCTGTGCTGCCGTAGTGAGGTTGAACGTACGATCCCGCAGCTAGCGCATATCGAGTGTACTCGGGGTGATGGTTTTGTGAGTAATGGTATACAGGCTGTGCCGGTGAAGGCGGTGTTGGTTGATACTGCCGCGACTGCCACGTCTGTTGATATGGATTGTAATTCGGTGATGCCATGACCCCTTGCAGATTCGACTTGGTCCCGTTTGTTGCGATAGGGGACTCGACTTTTTGCGCGCAATGAAAGGGCCAGCTTGTGCCCGAGACGTCTGACCAAAGGGCTGCGCAATCATGTGCGCATGACAATCAGTAGAGATTATACGTTGAAGAGCTTCTTTCCAGAAGGAGATGGGTAAGCCTGTTGGTCGAAGTTGATGTATGCAGCGTGTGATACTGCGGGATGTGGGGAGTAGTCAGTATCAACCTTTGTTTTGGCGCGTCTCAGCCCCCAGCGCGGGACACTGGTTGCCTAACCGATCGCCCTCAGCCATCCTCACGTCGGGCGGCTAGCCACTCTCTCGCAATCTCCACGGTACGATAAGCAACAGAGCAGCTTTTTTTTCACGCAGATGATGATGCGGGGTAGGAAGCGAAATTCATGGGGAAGATGCTAGTGCCCATAGCAGTGAGTAGGTGTTTGTGGGGAATGCGCCACACTTCCCATGCGCCACAACGCTGTCAAACTTAGCCATCGTCTCACGCCCCGCATATACTATACGTCATGGTTATACATCTGTCAAGGGGCGCAGCACATCATACGTTGTGTCGCCATGGCATATCAGTTCTCTGCAGCTTATACTTGGTGTATGGTGGGGAATAATCGACAATGTGTAAGGGACTCATGGGTGATACGGGTAGCATAAGGGCCTTCGCAAAGATTTGGGCGTCGAGTTTAATGCGCTATGCTGGCGCGCAAGAGAACTCAACCTAACATGAGAGTTTTCTAGTGCAGGAAATCCATGAGTCGTGAGAACTGATGCCAAAGGATCCGTTTTCCTCTGTAAACGTGGGGGTTTCGATATGCTACAGCCAGTCTACTTTGTGCACGAACAACAGTTACCAAAAGGGCTGCCTGAACCCTATCCACATTCCTGAAAATACCAACTGGGGTCAAGGCTCTACATACTATGCCTCCCAATAGAAAATTGTGCATTGGATGCGGCATGTGCTTGCCGTATCTTGTACCTCCAATGAATATGACACCATACTTTATCCTCTATCTTCATTGTACCTTTGATATTGATTGTATCAAGCATAATCTAGCACAACAACGAGCATCTCCTTTGCCAGTCTCGGGAGGACTAAGATTATGGGAAAATAGTGTTAGTGAGAATTGCAACGGCAAGCAGTATACGTGAAGATTTCATTCCGCATGTGATGAGATTGATTCCTGCTTGAGGAACAATATACTTGTACGCTGGTCATCAAGCTAATGCTATAATTGTCTACTTCATTATAATACTTTCTATACAGTGGCCTGATAACTTGGTTGTTAGTCTAGAGACCAAAACCTTTACAAGGCCCATCCTTCCACGAATACTCATCTTCCCAACACACATACGGAATCTCCCTGAATAGGAGTTTTTGCGCTGTAACGGAGTAAAAAAGGTTAGTCACTGATCTTAAAATGTAGAAAGAAGGAAGGGTATTTGACACCAAGAAAGCGAGAACTATCATGAGGGAGTGTTGTAACTTACTGCAAAAAACCAGCCTCGCATCTACAGACAACTCGAGGTACATGGGGTACTTCTGATTGTACTTCTTACTGTAGTATTCGACGTAGTTGTATCTGAAACCCATCATGTTGCCGTCGCCGCAGTTGAACGTGCTGACGCCGCTGCAGTCCTTGTCCCATAGAAGTGGGCAGGTTCGCGTGGCTCGACACTTTTCGACACCGTCTTCCTTGACCCAAGCTTCAAGTTCAATGCCGGAAGTAATGCCCATATGAGCTTTGATATGCGCTTGGAGGCAGGGTACTTTCTCGGACTTGGCGCACATGCCCGACGCGCAGAAGCGGATGTAGTCGCATCCACCATTGATGCTGCCACCACAGCCGTTCTGTCGGGCAGACAGTAGGCTAATGTCCCTCATTGCAACGCTGGTCTGGTTCTGCAGGTTGTTTGGAACAGAAACCTCCTGCTCAACCCGTTCATTATCAGCTGACTCCTCCTGGCGATGAGGGTCCTCTTCGGGCTTTGAACTGGGCTCAGGTGTCGGAACCGATGGGTCTACAGTGATACTTCCATCGTCGATGAGGGAGGGGGGTGCCGTCGCGTCAGTCGGAGCAGCAATAAAATCTGCCTGAGCACATCTAGCTATGACAGTGGTGCTCAAGCAGATAGAGTACTCGCCTGAACACGAAGGGGTGCCCGTCGCGGAGTATGTGGAGTAGCAGGGCCTGGTTGGTACGCAGAGATCCTGAGTCACGCAAGCCGACTTGCCACCAGAGCCATTACATCTGGTCGTGTGAAGATACGAGCTGCACTCGCTACCACTATAAGGCGGCTCGAGTGTCGTGAGAGTGGGCGCCCCTGGAAGATTCTGTCGTGTTGTGGTAGGCGAGCCCTGTCCTCCGTTGCCGTTACCTCCGTTGGATGTTCTAGTGGCGCCTAATGGGTTGCGATTCCATCCCCAAGTAGTCACGGTCCTTCCGGAATAAATGGTTGTTCCTTTTGTTTGGCTTACACCAGCTGGGAGCTCCTCATGCGTGTCCTGCAGCCTGGGGTCATATGTAGGTCTGTAACTTTGTGAACATGCTGTACTAAGTCGAATTAGAATAGAGAAGGGAACTTACGCTGGGCAGCTTCCGCCTGTCGTAGTCGTTGCTTTACCAGTGGCTGAGCATTCGCTGACAAGTGAGGTGGAGTAGGTAGTACAGCTCGTTGTGCGCTGAGCGTCACAAGAGACCCAGCGGTCTGTGACAGTTCTCGTGGTGCACTCTTCCTCTTCTTCTTCCGGGTCATTGGGATCATCACCGCCACCGCCACCACCTCCTATGCCACCACTACCGTGTGGGCAGACTGGTCCAACGCAGTTAAGATTAGGAGTGTTGCAAAGGGGGCCAATGCAGCCACAGATACCCAAGCAAGGACGCCCACGGCCTCTGCCACCACCGCCACCGCCACCGCTATCATCGTCGTCTTCCCCGCCACCGCAATTGACCTTACAACGGCTTCCGCACTTTTGTCCAGGCTTGCATGTCGGCTTTGGCGGGCCTCTGACGGCAGTGACAGATGATGGCTTACCCGGAGGAGGAGGGGGGGGAGGAGGGAAAGGGTTATCATCGTCTGAATTTATGGTAGGCCAGGGCCCAGGCGAATATGTCCAAGTGACAGGTGTCTGTCCTGCCCTGGTCCTGGTGAGAGTGACTGGCGGAAAATCGACGCTCGAAGTGAGGCCTACTGTAGTCCGATTCTTCTCATCCTCATTCCTGCCGCTGATCCATATCACGTTCCACACTTCGATCAGGGTCGTGGTGACGGGGGGCAATGTGATGACTGTGCTAGTTGTCACAATGGTTGTGTCCCAAGTGTCGAGGAATGAAATGGTGGCGGGGGGGCGAGAGATGGTCGTTGGCTTGTCGAGGGACCACGGGGGCATGATGAGTGTGCACGGCGGGAAACATGACGCGACTGGGTTTGGATCCTCGTAGACCTCGGGCGCAATGTAAACAGGCCCGGAACCTTTGCCATTTGACGGTGCCTCAAGACAGGCGCCACTCTGGCAACCCTTACCGCAGTGAGCCTCAGAATCACCGCAGTAGCCGAACGAAGAACAACAGCTTCCCTGGGGCCAGAGACCGCAGAAAGCGCCGTTGGCCGAGGCGCCGCATGATCCATCAGTCGTTTCCTGTCCCACCAAGCACTTTCCACTCACGCAGCCAGAGCCGCAGTGTGTCTCGCTACTGCCGCAGTAGCCGTACGACGAGCAACAGTTACCAAAAGTGCTGCCCTCGCACTTGAAGCCGCCATTTTGGGGACCGCATCTTCCATCAGTGGAAACGGGAGCGCTGTCACCGTCACCAGTACCCGAATTGAAGTCGACGGACCATGCCATTGTGCCGCCAAAACAGAGGTTGTTAGCAAACTTGCGCTTCATCTCATGTGTCTCCTCGTCGTCGTAGCCGATCCACTGATCATCCCAGATAAGCTCCTTCATCATGGATTCAGTGTTGAGGCGCGGCGTAAGGTTCTTCTCCTTGATAAGCTTCTTGATCTCAAGGAGTGACATGACTCCCGCCTGGCGGGTACACTCGGCCGGCTTGCTGGGCCCTGAAAAAGGGCATAGGAGTTTGTTGCAGCTAGGGTCTTTGATAAATTATCAGTTGACATGCACTAGCCATCACTGAAGGGCGACTCAGCGTACCTGACAATGTGTACCCTCTTCCATACCAGGCAAGGCCGAAGTTGATCTTGGCCGGATCTAAGTTTGCATACCAGAGGGGCAAGGTGTTCTAAGTCACGTCCTGTCAGTGAAATCCCGTAGTCATATGCTTATGCCTAGAAACCGCCAAGTCAGTGCTGGCTGAATACTTACTGTGAGGCATTAGTAAACGACGTAAATGATAGGGTTTGATTATAGCTCACCATTATAAATCTCGCGCACATCTGCCTGACCGCGCACCAGAGATCCCAAAGTCTCAACATCGGAGTCCCAAGAACCATGCAAATCGTACGCCATGAATCCGAAGAAGTCGACATAGGGCTGCATGGCTTCCGCGTCAAAGTAGCGCAGATACCAATAGTCTGGCGCCAGAGTCAAACTAATGCCGTACTTTTTTCCGTATGCTTCTCTCATCTCCTTGACGAGCTTCGTGAAGTTTTCAGTGTCTCCCTTAGCGCCTCCTCGCTTCGGCTCCACAGGGTACTCCCAGTCCAGGTCAACTCCCGTGAAGCCGTACTTATCCATGAACTCAGCCGTAGATTGAATAAAGGCGGCTCTATTCTCACGGGTAGAACAGAGGTCGCTCCAAGTCGTGTGCGTGTTACCCTCGTCACTAAATGTGTAGCCGCCAACGGCAATCCAGGTATTCGTGTCAAGGGCCGTAAAATCCTTCATTAGTGGGATATCAGCGTCATCCCAGGGCCGAATTCTGAAGGTCTTTGGGTCAATGGAAGCAAACGAGAAAAAGAGATGAGTGTAGTCCTTGGCCTTGATATCCTTGGGAAAGACGCGGTTGCACAGACGGTCTCTAGTGTTCGAAGCGAGGTAATACCCAATAGTCCGGGCTTTTGTCGATCCAGAACCCTCCCCGCATGTTTTTGGTCGGATTATCTCGCATGAGCCGAAGTCTTTTTGACACGGTGTAAATTTGTTTGGCCCGATGCAGTGAACTTCGGATGTTCCACACCATCCACCTGAGATATCATGCTTAGTAAGAGGCAAACGCAAGCCACAGAATCAACAAACACTGCTATCACTCACCCCAACTACAGCATAGGTTCATGCCGCACTTTGTGTTTCCTCCTTCGGAGAAGTTGCCGCACATGGCAACAGCATCACAGTTGCTGGTGCAGCCGACACCACAAAAGTCTTGACCGTAACCACATACTCCCTTAGGACCGCAGCAACTGTTACAATCAGAATTCGGTTCTTTTCTAAGCTTTACTTGTCTTTTACAAGGACTGAAGCGTGAGAACTGACCTTTTGTCGGGGCAAGGGGCCTTTTTGCACAAGAGGCCTCCATTTCCGTCCTCTTCGCGCTGTCTTTTGTGAAAGATGCTGCCCGAGAAACCCGACTCCACGGATGAATCGCTTCTGTTGATTTGGCTGGTCGTGAACATGGACATGAGGTTGAGATAAGGAATGGGAGGTGCATGCTCCGGAGACTGGTGGGTGATATCCGGGGATTGCACCGCCAGAGCGCCCTCCAGGGCGATGAGGGCAAGCCCAAGAAGACACACTGACTTTTGGAAGCGTGCCATCTTTGACTCTAATACATTTGCCTTGAGGAAAGGGTGAAAAGCTCTGTGGAAGGTTGTATTCGATATAGGATACCATGGGTTTTATGTACATGTACTGGTACTGCTCTTCTACTCATGCCAGGGTTCTAATTTCCGGTCTCTAAGTCTAAAGGCGTTTTCTACTCCCCATCTCCATTGTATGCAATCAATCGAAAATGTGCAAACCCACTAAAATTCTCACCCTGCAGTCAAGGATGCAATCCATTTTTTTGTGGCACAGTTAGAGGAATCGATAAGTTTTTTTCTTCCGGCACATTTTCGGGAGCATTTGATTTCTTCCTGTGGCACGGTTAGGGAAAGATTCAACTTTTGCATGTGGCACAGTTAGGGGGACGTATGATATTTGCAGGATTGATCCTTCGCGTGCCAAGCCCCCAAGAAACGCCGAGCTCTCATGACATGTATGACTGGTCATTATATTGTACTTAATTTTGAATGCAACGAGTCTAGCAGGCGAGATCTGGAGTCTTGTGGTCTCGGAGCAATCGGCTCTGTGCGCAAGCAACTGCCGAGAAATGGAGAAAGGTTAAACGCGCTTAGAGCGTGAAAAGCTTAGGAACAAGGTATGAGACATGAAATGAAAGGGTCAATATGAGCCATAACCAGAAGGACAGCGCTTAGCAGGGGACTAACAGGATTGTCAACACTATTAAGCATCATGGTGAAAACAAATAGCTCAAAAAAGGACCGGGATTGACGGTGAAGATGAAAGTGCAGGATGCAGGAGAAACTTGCGGAGGTTACCTGAATAGGTGCGGGTCTCGTTCCATTATCGTTGGCAGGAAGAATGGGACTCACGTCAATTTCCACGCAATCACCTTTTTTTACGCATTTACATGTATGCTTTGAGTTCGAATTTTCATATGCGCATTTGTCTCGTGAACCATAGTTCGGCTGGCTTCTGCTAGCGTCGTAACGTGTTCTCGGTTATGTCTACTGCATAAATACCACCATCTCTATCAATTCCGGGGACTCTATCTTCTCTTCAGACACTCAACTCTAAAGCGACCATGACAGCAAATACTGAAGGAGACGCGTTTGGCAGACTTCCCGTTGAGCTCAGGATCAAGATCCTTGAATTGTCACCCGACCTCTTTTCACTACGAAGCTTAGCCCATGCGTCGCCGGCCTTAGGCAGAGTACTCGACAGATATCCGCTCGAAATTGTGGAGGTAGTCTTAGACGTTACCGTTCCTGTGGAAACTCGTCGGCTGATGGGCGCGGTTCTCAAAGCTCGGTTTTTGCGCTTTCCAGCATCCCTGTCCGAAGCTCAAAATGTGGCTAAAATTGACTCGCCTGCGATCACCGACGAAATGCGTTCGGCCAGACTGGACCGGGCCGCCGCGGCAGTACGGTCCCTACTCACTACCGCTCAGAATGTCCATGCCTGGTCCCATGCCTGCCTCGAACATTTGATACAAAAATCAATGGAGTTGCGGCCCTCCACCCTCATTCGCCTCTGGGATGGCCGTCTATCCTGGAAATGGTATGGAAAAGCCGAAAGTCATGGCAACTATGTCCCACAGTATACTGGCCCGCCTTCATGGGTGGAGGAGCAGCGGATGGTCAAAGCATTCTGGCGAATACAGTTCTTCCTAGAACTGCAGGGCGATGATAACAAGAGTCGCCTGATGAATTGTTGGGCAATACAAGAAGTTGACGTGTTGTCCAGAAGCAGCCCGGATGACTTTTATGACATGTTCCGCTTCCAGCGGGAGCAGACCTTGACCGCATATGATTTTCTTGGCGAAGTTATCTCGGGTACTATTCCTTCGGTAGAAGCTGTCCACGACGACACTCATGGGTTGCCAAAGATACGTTGGACTGAAGGTACAGTGCCAAGATGGTCATGTGCCGAGCCACCCTCATTCGGGCGTAACAAAGACATTTTTCATCAGGGGCGAGAATACCTTGACCAAACACCATTGTCGTGCCGGTTTCTAGATATGATGTCTCAACCTCATACTGAAGGGGATTCGCCTCTATTCGGCCTCTCATTTCAACCTTATCGCAGATACGGGTTCGCCATATGGGACAACAAGCGTATGGCCGATCTGGGCATGCGGGACCCGACAAATACGTCGGTCTTTAGAAACCGTATATTTTACTCGTTTAGATGGTGGAGTATCTTGACTGAGGAGGACGTGCAACAGGGCTTGCAAAATCAATAGTAGACCTTAGTATCCGCAGATATCAAGGTCTCGTCTAATTGGCGCAAGATCGAGACAGGCAATAGAAAGAGAGGACTGATTGAGTGTTTTGGACCACAGAATGAGATCATCAATAAAGCTCGTGATAGAGAACATGGTTGATGCATATACGAGACGTATAGCTTAGCAAAAACAAGAAAATATCGATGTTCACATGCATTAAGGAACATGGGAGTTCGACCCCGCTGAGTGGATCGATTGGAGAAAGCTGGCAGAAAATGTTTACTGTGAAACTTTAGGCAGATCTTTAAACTCGGGCCTACCCTGAATCCATCTCCATAGCTCCATACGAAATCACTGCTTGATATGGAACCCTTACAGGCCACAAATATTGCTCACTTATTTTAGCGCTGTTGGGGCTCCACAGAAGGATTCGATGGATGCTCGGCATATCAAACGAAAATAAGAACGCGAGTGTAGGCTCTGTACATGCACCTTGTGAAAAGGAAAGTGAGACATCCGACCCAAAGGAGTTAACTAATCTTTGCTTATGCCAGGGTCCATTTACCCATTCCCAAAGCTATCTTTTGACTAGCCCGGGATCTCCATAAAATCACGCCACTCATCCTGCCGTCCACGGCCAGAACACACGGAACATGGATCTTTTGCGGCGCAGCGAAGACCAACGAGCCCACGTGGCCAGGAGAACGTTCTGTGCACATGTGGATATTTGACCCACGCAGATTCTTTGTGGTACGTTAAATTATGCGTTACTGGGTAAGTGGTTCATAAGTTCGTCTTGATCACCGAGCACATCTTTTATATATTTCTAGGTCGAGACTTCTGCTACGCCCACGTATTCCCGCATCCGCTGGTTATATCATTTCTAAAGCTATTCTTCATGATTTCCGTCGGCATCCTCGATGGCGCTGGGCCAACTGAGTCTAGGAGACATGGTCCTCGACACCGCCTCTTGTCTCTCATTGTAGCTGTCTGCCTTGCATTTTTCACTGGCTCCTACCTCTCTCACAGCTTTTACAATCAACAGCCATCAGATGTACAGACACGAAGCGTTTTAGACGAGCCCCTAGTATCGAACGACCTACTCATTTCGCTGCCGCAGAAACAAGTTTCGCCTGAACTTGTCTCTCGTGCAGCCAGCCAGGAACTATGGGACAAGAAAGTATTAAGTGGCAGAAGGTAAATCAAATAATTTCAAGCTTCCTTTCCTTAATCTTCTTCTCTGTTTTGATTGAACCACGACTGACAACATACACGCAGTGAGCGGATCGAACAAAAAAAATTCTTTTCTCCCTAGCATTTGCTGATCACAAGATTAGGACTCTGGTGCATGATGAATTCGGATAACGTGCAAGCTGGAACAGTAACGCTGGAAAAGCTCGAGAAGACAGGGTGGGTAGAATGGGAAGATTTCCCTGAAGAAGTATCAAATGATTGGCGAAAGTCGATAGGAAAAGCTGACGGTTTGATGAATACGGCCAACGAGTTTGCTCGAGAGTGGGATCATGATGAAATGTGGACGGACGATCAGGGCAGGGAAAGACGAGTAAGTGCTCATAGTCATACTACCTTTACTCTACTAACCACTATGTCCCGGCTTTTGTAGCCCAGCCAAGCCTCCATGGGCAACATTGTGAACGGCAAAGATGGCTACATAATTGCCGGTGGAAACTTTGCGCCTTGGGAGACAAAGCCTACAGACATGGAAACCTGGGAGCTCCCCGATACGAAATGGACCGACATCATGGCAGTACAGTGGACAAAGTACGCGGCCAGCAGCGAAATCAAGCGCATATACCGATCTAAGATTATATATGACGAGTCAAAAGCCCTTATGGAATCGGCTATGGAGAAGATCGGAAAAAGCGGTAACCTGGATGACCTGCCAGTATGGCCTGGCTTCGATTTCACGCCTGGAAAAAACCCTACCAAGACACCGATGAAGCCTGAGACCGAGGCTTTCATGGGCTTGCTTGGGAGTTCTCATGCTGCTGGTCCTGCCTACTTGTTTATCCAATACCGGGCCATTTTTGGTAAGAAGAGGATTAACAAGATCAAGATCTGGAAATCTGAGAACTCGGAGGAATCTCTGATACCAAATATGCTACTTTATGTGGAGGACGTTCCGTAGAGAAGGAACGAAGGGTGGCGCAGTGGGTTTTTGGATTCCAAAAATTCTTTTACCATGATGCCTACGGATCCGCAAGGTCGAGGGTTCAAATCTCCCCCACTCTAACACCAAACAGTGAAATCCTAGATATTGAAGCCCAATTTAGTATGAAACCCAATTTCTGCTTGATACACTGATTGTAGAAAAGAGTTCTCAAGTGTTCGTGCCGCAAGAGCTTTCTTGTCATTCTCTCGTTATTGGACTCTTGCACTAATTCCCGAGGCAAGAAGCCTATATTTAGCCACTCCAGATCGCCCATAGCAGCCAATACACCAACTGTTGTTAGAGAATGAAATATGATGATTCTGTCAAATGGGTACTTTCATTGCCTTGGAGATATTCTCAAAGAAGTCCAAGAAGATAAATAGAATTTGTTCCACTTAATGCGATGATTCGCAAGGTCTTACGAATTATTAGGCCTCGTTAGCGAGTTTATATCTAGATGCTTAAGAGACTCTGCGCATGGCAGAAAGATTAAACAAGTCGTAGTCATACAAGTGGTAAGTCTTCGTGATTACCGTAGTAACGTATAGCTTTCGACATTCGATAGTGAAGATTTTATCGATGACTGTAAAAGAAAATAGGTGAATTTTTTCACCAACCGATGAATATAAATGAAGCTGCTTTGCGCTACTTTGGATCTATCTTGGGCGGTCCCTGAACCGCATAGAAACACATCGCGGACCGGTCTATTGCCAACTATTCCTAGCGATCTGCTGCCGGCTGTAATCAGGAATGCTTTCGAAATCGTTGCATGCGTAATGTAACCCTAGCAAAAGACGAAGATCCTTTATATCTTGCGTATGGTTTATAGGTATTCAAGGTTCGTAAAACCTTCCAGATTGTGTCCCATCACGCTGAGAAGCCTAGACGAGTATCTGTCGCTTCCAGATACAGCTGTGGTGATAGCTACCGTTTCACACTAATCTATATCTGCACAAAATTTAGTGTTGTATATAAAGCACTCCATGGCCAAAAAAGAATGATTCTGGGCATATTTAAATATTTAGATTGTAGTACCTGGCACGGATTTAGCACAATACTCGCATTCCGTGTCGCAAATCACGAGACAGGATGCTTAGTTCTCGTAAAATATGCTCGAAAGTATCCCCACCAAGAACATTTCCACCAACAAAATATTGGTTTTCGCGTCCGGAACGGACGTAGGAATAAATGAGATGGCTTTGGCGCAATTTCCAGAAATGTGGTTTCGAAATCGAAAAGTTGAACCATATCGCATCAAATCTACTCCCAGCTCGGATGCCTCGCGGAGTACACATATGCGCTTTGTATATTCTACTCGAATTCGGTTGTCTCGAATGAATATCCGTACTCTTGTCAGGGCCGCCATGCACTAAGTTTGCGGTACCGCCGAACTTTGCCCTGAATCTTGTTGAAAACGGCCCTTCTTGCCTTCGAACGTGCAAGACCTCGAGGAAACATCGGTTATGTACGAGATCGCGATTCGCAAAGAGAGAACTCGCTGGAACGATTCTTATTGCTTTGTCGATGATGCAGTGCAGCTCAAGGATGTCAAGCGATACATACACTATGCGACAGTTTGGAGCGAGACACGTGAGCCACGTGCTTGTGCCAGTTCACTTCAGCTGCAGAACTTGGTGCTGCTGGAGCTACTAAGTTTGCATCGCTGTTGCACCATAGAATTCCAGCATGCGCATGAAAGCAATCAGTTAATTGACGCGAAATGGTAGCATCGTTGGATCAGTGAATTACAGAAAGAGAAAGGGAATGACTGCATAACACATCGGCTATCTTTCTTCATTGGGTCGACGGCAGCAATGGGACGCGCCGGATGATCGATCGAAGTAACATCTTACTAACTGCCGATAGAAATTGTCCGAAGGACAGCCGTGGATACAGAACATGTTGAAGTTCAGATAGCAAGGGCGGTATACGTACTTGACGTGCGCGAGTCATCAATATGGACACAATGCCAACAACGTGGCCACAACTTCGCTCACGTCCACCGCCAGATATTGCATGACCTCAGCTATATCCAGTTGACCGATAACACTGAGAAACGGACAAATTTTATCTTTTTGCAATGCATTCCGTGAAGTGGTCCATTTAGCGCGATAGCCGTCCGTGAAGCCTGATCCTTGAATGATGCTGACATGCTGAATGCACCTTCATATGAAGACTAGTGAACCTCATCGAGTAATTTGCTGGTTTCAATTTTTGAGCGATGCGGGGATAATGATTTCAGTCAAGAATGCGAGACCACCCAAGGAATGCCAAACCGTCTACCAATGCGCTTCGCAAGATCCTTGTACACCAACGTCTGCTGATGTAACGTTGCCCAAGGACTCGCTTAATCAAGGGAAATATGCTCTTATCTGAGTCTAGTAAGCAGAGTTGGCATGTCAGCCACGGGAAATATATCTTCAGAATTGTAGTCGATATATGTGTAGCGAATGGATATTGTTGTGGATTTCTGGCATAACGCTCCTTGACATAGGTTCTTTCATGTCGAGTGCTGTAAGGTGTTAATTAGGGCGAGCTGTTCGCATTTACTGCAGGCCATCAATTTACTTTTCAGTACAATATTAAGTTTTCATACAAGGCACAGCCATGTAGTAATTGTCGATCAGACATCTTGCTTGAAGAAGAAACGAATATCTGCATGGCAGGTGACCTCGCGTGGTCGCACTTTCCCAGTAACAGTGCGATACAAGGTGGAAACCGATTTTTTATACGGTATCTTGTTCACTCTACCAAGAACTCTCACGACTACACCTATTTGATGCAGCAATGCGACCTCACTTTGGAGTGGTTCTGGTGGGGCAAAGGGGGCGTACGTATCGGTGTTCAAGGCGCGCTCCGGCACAACCACCGTCTTACCTGCAGGGTCATGTGCACGCAAGGTAGAGCTGGACTCTAAATTGTTGGGATCAAACTAGTCAGGGACATTTACCACATGGATATATACCTGTTTGCGTAGACTCTACATAGAGAATTGAAAGTCACATGCACCCCTCGAGTTTCTTTAGAGGGGCCGAGTTCATGTACGTACTGATTTTGCGTTCTATCTGCAACCTGTAACAATGGCACTGTTCGATGGCAGGTATGCTTTGAAACAATGATGATTACCACGAGATGTATGACCTAGCATTGATCATTGACACTTCTTCCAGCTTTATTAACCATGATTGGAGACATTGTTGACTCTCAGCGTTCGCCCATTTCGCAACCACAACAGCAACAACGAGCATTCAGAGAGTCTTGTCAAAATTGCGCAGACTCAAAGGTCCGATGCAGTAAAAACAAGCCGACGTGCGCGCGTTGTGCTCGCCGAGGCACGCCTTGTGTCTACCAACAATCCAGACGTGCTGGAAGAAAGCTCACATCGGTCGGGCAGGCCAAACAAGCGCGCCGAGCTGCCACGAATGCCCTAAGCGACTTATCAAGCTCATACACTTGGGAAATCGACATCGAAAATAATGACTTGCAGCTATCTCCTCCCAGATCCGACGCCACACCAAACACCACCTTTAGTCAAATGGGCCCCAACGATAGCCAAGCAACTTCGGAAAACTTTTCGCCCGTGGATTCTTTTCCCGATAGTTCCGGGTCGACAGAGTGGTGTTCCAACAAGATGTTCGAAGCACTCTGCATGCAACCGGTTCCGCTCATGTGCGGAGATGACGCCGACTTTGCCCTACGCATGTCGCAGGACTTGACAACCTTGAACGATGAATTTCTTCATTTGGACAGTTCAGGTAGAAGTTCAATCCCTGTCGACCTAGCCCCTGAGTTTCTTGCATTGCCGTTGGCATGGCCAAGCACTGCAGGAGACGCCCACGCGACTGGCTACGAGCCTGACGATATATCCCCAGCCAAGCCGATATGCAAGAAAAACTGTACTGCCGTCATCTCTCGACTACTTCCAGAATTATTCTTTTCTTTTGGCAGCAGATACGAACGCAACCAGCTGCAAGGCGAATCATTGGGCAATATCATGGCATGCAATGAGAGTATGTCGGAAGCGATGAATAGCATTCTCGAGTGCGAGTGTAGCCAAGATATCTATGTGCTATTCGTTGTCGGACTGTGCACCTCGAAAGTCATGTCTTCCTATCTCGAGGCAATGCGCCGTGAGTGTCTCAAGAATACACAGCGAGCCGGCGACCTATACACCACGAACGACTATCAGCGAAGCGCACTAGATGTAGAAGATGAAGATACCAAAGCCGAGATGATGGCAGCTCGCATGGTCCTCAGTGGGCTCCATCGCATCCAGCACCTTTTGGCTCGTCTATCTGATCGTCTCAAACAGACAGAGCCCGAAGGGGAGCTTGCCAACGACTACGCTGGGCCAGGAGGGCTGACAGGAAATGAGCTGCGGAATCCATTTCCTCGCTCGATGCTTCAACAGCTTGAATGTAGCTTGCGAGCCCATCTCCGCTATGTTTTTGCAGTATGCCATGCGCGGCTTGGGGCGCATAACGCTGATCCACTGTCTACATGGACTACACAATGCAGTGTTGAGTGCAGAAGGTGACGGACGGAAGAGATGTGTTTTTACGAAATTCGGGCCAGGCATACAAGAGGATACTTGAGGCTGCACACATGCAGAGGTATATGGGTAGGGCTTGTAGTATGGTCTTCCCCAGGGGAAATGATGTTTTCGGTGCTCAGTGAGATAAATAGGGTCTAACCAGAGCGCCCGTGTAAGACTCATGTTATATGATTTGCGCATTAAACTATGGATTCTTTAGTAATTTTGACGTTGATTATTCGAGTATACTACACGACATGTGTGACAGGAACGAGCGAAACCATGTTTGATCACGTGACCTGATAATCTGCTTCTGGGAAGTATACGGTACCTTTTTTTCTAGACAAGGCCAGCAGAACGAGCGGCTTTGATTTAGATTATCCAAATCCATAGCCAGTTCTCAATTGAATCTCGAATGTCGTTGGAGTAATACGATTGGTTTGGTCAAATTCATGAAATCGGTGCGTGGTCGTATGGGTGTGCGAGCGCTTTCGTGGTTAGGCGATCCGAAGATTAATCAAAGTCAACAGGTACACTGGAGAATTCTAATAAATTTCACAGTCCCACGGTCCGGGGAAATAAAGCCTTTTGAATTCTGTTCCAAACGCACTTTAAGTATATTGCACAAAAACGCACAGACATTGGGGGCTTGACGGGTGGAGAGTATAAAATCATTGTCGCTAAAGGGGGGGAGCAAATCAATTTACTTCGATAGCGAGCAACTAGTTTACCGGCCGTTTCAAAAACCGTTACCCACGTCAAGATAAGCGTCCGCTACGGGTAGATCTTTGTGCGGAGAGATTTCATGAATCGACTTGCGTTATCGGAGGATTCGACAAGGGGGAGAGAGAGGGAAAAAAACGGGACTGGGTACCTGCGCGTGCCGCACGTGGTGGTACTGGGAATTGCCGAAAAAGGAATAGTAAAATGGACCCTTTTTGATCATGTGAAACGGGAGCGGTAGCCACAAGTAGATCCCCAAAGTATTGCAAGGGTCCAAGTGGATTCAACGTGGGGAAAAATTTCGCCTGGCTGAATTAATTAATCCGCGAAGAGAAAGAGAGACGGAGAGACGGGAGAGAGAGAGGGGGCGACTTCGGAAAGCCCAGGCGTCCGTATTTCCAGCCAGCCACCCACACCCCCGTCTCATGACCATCACGCGTGGTCTTTTTTCTTTCCTTCTCCCTCGCGTATCTTTCTTCTTTGCTGGCCGTAGACTAAAGGGAAAGAATGTCATCGGTCCTTGTCCTACCGTGATACACAATCACCGGGTCGTTCGTGTAACGGCAACTGCACATCTAACATGATGAAGAGCCCGTCGCCATCGCCATCGTCTTCGCCACACAGAGCCTACCCCGCGCCAGAAGCCGCCCCCAGCGACACAGGATGTCAAGATGGTAATGCGCAACGGCTGCTGTGGCGCCTCTACGTCTCACATACACTCTCGACATGGAACGCACGCACGTTTGAGTTTGGCGCGGTGATTTTCCTCGCCGCCATTTTCCCCGGAACCCTCTTCTTCGCGTCCTGCTATGCGCTTTTCCGGGCTGGAGCTGCCGCGGTCCTCGGGTCCTGGATAGGACATCAGGTCGACTGCAGAAATCGACTCGATGTCGTAAGACACAGCATCGTCTGGCAGAGACTGTCAGTCGCCGCGTCATGCCTCATCCTGGTCTTGATGGTCGCCGGCGGCCATGGGAAAGAGAAGGGATTTATGACATATGCCTTGTTTGTCGGGAGTGTCATGCTAGCGTGTGTCGAGAAGCTGGCTTTCATTGCAAACACCATTTCCGTGGAGCGGGACTGGATCATTGTGGTGTCTGAGAGCCTGAGCATCGACCGGCAGGACCTGAACAGCACGATGCGACGGATTGATCTCGTGTGCAAGCTCATTGCGCCTGTCGGCATTGGACTTGTTGAAGGCTACTTCTCGACCAGACTGGCCATTTGGATTGTATTTTTGCAAAACGCCATCAGTGTCGTGGTGGAGTATTTTGCCATTGCCTCCGTCTACGCAGCGGTGCCAGGCCTCGCGCTCGGAAAAGCGCCGTCGCCGCCGCCGCCGAACCATGAGGGTGATTCTGAAACAGCAGACACGCCAATGCGACAGTCGTCCCATCAGCATGGCAATAATACTTCCGGGTCAGCCCCGCATCTTCAGACGCAGCCTGTTATTAAAACCATGGTGGCATCCCACCTGCGGCCGTGGAAGAATTATATCCAAAACCCGGCCTTTTTGGCGTCCTTTTCGCTCTCCCTCCTCTACCTGACCGTCTTGAGCTTCGCGTCGCAGATGACCACATACCTACTATCACTCGGATTTACCAGTACCCACGTTTCGCTCATGCGCCTTGGCTCCGTCATGTTGGAGCTGTGCGCCACGGTCGTCGCCCCCTGGCTGATGCGCCGCATCAGCGCTGTGCGCGCCGGCCTGTGGTTCATCAACGAGCAACTGATTTCGATCGCGCTGGCCGTTGGCCTGTTTCTCTGGTTAGACAACAAGCCCATGCTCGCTGGTGGAGTCCTGGTCCTCGGCGTGGCATTCTCCCGCCTGGGGCTGTGGGGATTCGATCTCAGTGTGCAGTATCTGGTGCAAGAAGATGCGCCAGAAGCCACACGGGGGTCCTTCTCCGCCGTCGAAATGTCGCTACAAAATCTGTTCGAGCTGGTTTCCTTTGCCACGACAATGGTTTTTTACCGGCCGCAGCAATTCAAAATTCCCGTCTTCATCAGCGCTGGCGCCATTGTATCGAGTGCGGCGTGTTTTGCGGGTTTCGTACGGCGCAAGAGAGGCCATTTGCTGCATACGGATAGGTGCTTTAAGAGAATGGGCAAGACGGGTAGATATGAGGTGTTGCCCACAATTGAAGAAGAGTTTGAACTAGAGGAAGAGGGCACTAGAGTCGGTTGAATCTTGGTGCGTCGAATATAACGCACATTTTAGAAGCTGAATCTCAACATTTCCAAAAAAAATTGATCTTCTACCCTCTTACTCACGTACTGCTGAGTTAAGTGTTATGGTTTTTCTTTTTGAAAGACAAGTAAGCATACGCGTTGTTGGGCCAGTCATCATGATGCTCAGAATTAAAATTATAGACAGTGTTGAAACTAACAAACATGCTATGAGGCATTCATCACTCGATGGTGAGTTATAGTGGTCTCCATTCCCAACGCCAAAACGATGCCATGCTATGCAAACAAGACAGAAAACAAACTTTGCCTTTACGAAAAGGCTTGTGGAGTAGGTGTCGAGTCCCTGACATGCAACGATGCCACCTCGTCTACAACATCTCCTTCATCACCACCCGCTCCGTGTGTCAGAGTGGTACCTTCGTCATCGTCGGTGTAATGGCCGTCCTCCAGATACTCCTCTCCTTCGGCATAGTCTCCACCTTCAACGCTCTCCATGATTGAGTCACCCATGCCTGTTTCGTCGAGCGAGTCCCGTGACATGTAGCTCCCTTCGAGATCCTCGCCAATGTCCGACCTTTCATCTTCGCTGCGGATGCTAGCCGCTTCCGTGTCAACATCGTCGTCTTCGTCTTCGCTGTCGGTGAAATCGGCAATGTCGAGAGGTGGATCGCGCCAGTAGTTGAAGTCGGTGTAGGCTTCGCCTCCCGCTGGAACAAGCAGTCCGACTGGGGGAAAGAAGTGATCGACAATCTCTCGCATACTGGCATACCCAGTCTTGTAAGAATTTAGCGATAAGACATCGAGACTGACTTCGGCATTGGAGTTGATGGTGAAGATGCGTGTGGATGGGATGTTGACGGAACGATAGGACAGAGCATCGGTAAATCGGTTGCCGAATCCCGCGTAGAAGGGGGTTTGGCCTGGGGGTTTGTTGAACAATTGCATGATGTCTCGGAGGCAGGCCATTTTGAAGACTTCTGGTTTTCGCAAATAGATTTCTCTGCGCAGTGCAGCGATTGTGCGATCTGGACTCATGATGACAGGGCCCTTTGGCAGACGATAATTGTCTTGCACGACGCCATTGAGGTAGGCTCTTGTTGTATCGGCTTGTCCGACGGAGCGACTCGTCAGGTAGAAGATGTTGTAGCCATTGTTTACAATGTCTGTGTAGAGTTTGGCAACTCCCTGGTGAGTCCAGTCACGGCCAATCATGTTGAGCACATGGCCAAGAGCATCCGACTTTGTAATCGTCCCGTCAATGTCGGAGATGACGATGGGCACATCGTGCTTCCAGTAAAACATGTAAGCCTCACACTTTGATCTATTCACTGTGAAGCTCATGGTGTTTGCACCCGGCTTCAAATTGAGGGCTTTGAGTTGGTCACTGGTCAGGCGCAGCGTCTTCGCATATGTCTTGGTCTCATTCTTGCGCGACTCGGGCGAGTGTGGCGCAGACATGCCGAGGGCGCTATCCGAATCCCTGCGAATCTGGGGAAACTGGGCCGTGTCATCACTGCGACCGCTGTCGCTCTGGTAGCCAGGGTCGGACAGGGCATCACTTGAGCGGAGGGCACTCTCGTTCAAGACGTTGACGGATGTCTTTGCCATGGCGGCGGCTTTAGCCTCCTCACTGCTGTAGATCCACAGGTTTCCGTTTTCGTCGGCGCCAATGAGGGCACCAATGTCATAGTCGCCTGCAAGCTCGTCGGAGAGGATGCGCCTGGCTATGACCTCTGCACGCAATGCGTCCTCTTCGCTGCTCTTGTAGCCCGTCATGTCAAGCTCCAAATCGCCAGTCTCGGTGACCTTGTTGGGAATGTTTGAAGTGAAGAGCTTCTTGGACAGCTTGATGGCGCGGGCAAGGGCTTCGCTGGGCGACACTGGCGGGGGGCTTGTTGAGCGCGTAGATCTATTCCATGCAGTCGCGTCTTCCTTGCTAATCTGCAGCGGCCTCCTCTCGTGTGGTTGGGATTCGTCAAAGGCTTTGCTAAAACTGTCCTTGACCGAAGGCACCGTCACGTCTGTGCTAGCCCTGTGCATCTGGAAGCCAGACCAGTCTCCCGACTTTGGGCGAGCGTAGTCGGTGTCTGCGTGCAGGTAGTCGGCAGGGGGCACCGACATGGACATGCGCCCTCTTCTCCGTGCGATGGCCGTCTCGTCGAGATCAAGGGGTTCAGGCTCGTCAAAGGGGCGGTCCGAGGACGGCTCGATGGGCTTCTGGTCGGGGCTGGCGGCGGGCGAGGCAATGGGCGACGTCTGCATCTCTGCGGGGATACTGCGCGAAGTCTCAAAGACAAAAAAGGCCTCGCCGCCCTCGCCGAGCTTCATCGAGTAGTCCTGCAGCTCGCCATTGACGCGGAACTCGACCTTCTTGTCTGAAGGGCGCAAGATCTGGTACTTGCCGAAGCGAACGTGGAAGGGCGAACATGCGAGGGTGCCATCTTCGTGCTCGACGACGATGGTGTCGATGGCGCCGCTGAGGGTAGCGGGATTGATCGAGTTCCAGCCCTTTGAGACGCTGCCGGTGATGGACCGGACGTAGTTCATGGTGGATGGGGGTAGGGGTGCGAGGGTTGTGTGAGGGGGAGAGGGTGCAGCAGGGCCCTGTTTGCGCCGGGAGGGGGGGTGGTGGTGGGCGTGGGAGGCAGCAAGTGTCAGGGAATGTACGTCAGATGGGTTTTACAGAGGAGGTGGAATGATGCAAATGACCCGAGGCCGCGTGCTTTCACATGCCACACGACTGGCGCATGGACGAGCAGGGCGATGGAGCCGCAGCAGAGGCAGACAGCAGCGACTTGGAAGGGAGGCCGACCGAGCGTGGAGCGATAGATTGGGGAGCGGGCAGACAGTGCGCTCGTGCGAGTCGATATGGCCGTATACCGTCATGTCACGGGCAGTCGGCGGCTTTGCGACGTCAGCACCGGCCCCACGGCCATCAGGTGGGCAATGGCAATGGCAAAGGCCATGGCGTGCCCATGGACATGTTGCATCTTGCATGGCCAGATGTCGTAATGGCTGTCATGGTGCACATGCGCCCACGAGGACATGGGCCTTGGATGGGATGAGATGGGATGGGATTGGAGCATGGAGAAGCTTAGGGTGCGTGGGTGCTGGGAGCCGTCACTGGGCGGCCACGTGCACTATCAGAGCGAATAGCCCTGGCTTGGCATCTTGTATTCTAGGGGGTGCTATGAGAAAAAAAAGTCCCGTGATATACTACTACGTGCTGTAGATATATACATACCTAGCACGTCAATGTCTTGTAGTAGTAGTACTGCATAGTACACTACTCACGTGCACAGCCAAACACTCGCACCACCGGGCTGCAGGGCAGCGGCGGCTTGTCGACACGCCAAGACGAGCACCAAATGCTTGTCGCCCCGGCCGCACTCGGCCATATTCCATACTATTATGCCAGTTCACTCTCCCATTCCAGACAGACAAACCACCCCCATCATCGCTCGTTTTTCTCTTCCCCAGGCGGCGACTCTGGGCCCCGACAAGCAACATCCCCCCCGCCGCCGTCCCCGCCCACGCCATCATGTTCTCCGACCCTGCGGCCGCCCTGCACTGGCCGCCTGACGTCGCCCACTACAACATGGAAGCCCTCTTGTTCTCGTCGTCTGGATGGCTCCGAACCACCTGCGTCGTCTTGGCCCTGTTCTGGTATGCATGCAATCAATCAATGACTGAATAAACAAGTGCCTCGTCACCCACTTGGCCACTCCCTCTCCGACGCGCTCGTGTTGACCTCGCGCCCAGGGTCGCCTTCCGCGCATACCAAGTCCTCACCCAGCCCGTCGACAAGCTGATCCACGTCCTCGGACTCGAAGTCCCCGTCGCCCCCATCGTCTCCCTCGCTGGCATCAAGGCTGATGGTGCCCTGCTGCACTGGAAGCCCCCCGACCAGCGGCCCTCGGTCCTCAAATATGTCATTCGTATCAACGGCATAGACAGTACGTCGTTGCCCTTTGCCCCACTCGTAACCCACCCTTCTAACCCACGCCCTCCCCAGTCGGCGATATCTCACCCCAGGAATCCTCCATTACTATCGAAAATCTCCTGCCCGATTGCCACTACACCATCCGCATCGTCACCCTCAACTCGTCCAGCTTCCAGGCCCCCAGTGTCCCCATCCGCTTCCGTACCCTCCCCGCCGACTCGGACGACTACTACGCGCCCCACCCGCCCAAGGATGCCGTACCCCCTTCCGATGACAATGACTACACTCCGACCCCGATTATCCGCCCCAACAAGACCCTCGCAGACGTCGTCACCGCCGTCGCTGCCCCTCCCATGACCCGCGAACACAGCAACAGCACCTCTCGCTTGCGCCGCCCAGATGTCGGCAGGAGGGCCTCACCTGCGTCGCAAGATCAGCCTCGCAATGCCCAAGAATCAGAAGGTTCGGATTCTATCCGCCAATTGACCGAAAAGCTCGACGCCCTCCGACGCGAACTCGATGACGTGGAGCGTCAGATGCAGGACGAGGACCAGGAATTTGTCACTCAAAAAGCCATTCTCGCCGACAAGCGCGACGAGAAAAAGGCTGCGCTTAAGGAAAAAGAGGATGCCAGTCGCGATTTGCGCAAGGAAGTGGCCAATCTCGAGCGCCAGAACGCGACAGCCCAAGGCAAGCGCGCTCATCAAGAAAAGATTTTCCGCCAAAAAGAAGCAGAGAGGAAGAAGCTTAAGGACGATGTAGCCAAATGGACTCGCGAAGCGGTTGAGTTTCGTGAAACTGCAGAGAAAATCAAACAGGAGCAGGCCGAGTACGAAGCGGAGTCAGAAAAGCGCATCCAGGAACTCAAGGACAAATACGCTGAGGAGACCCAAGCCAACAAGGTCTTGGAGGACGCCATTCGCGAAAAAGGAATCCACATCAAGGCGCTCGAGGAGGAGAGAAAGAAGCTCGAGGCTGGTCAGGAGGGTGCAGAAGCGACAGACGGGCCCGATCATGCAGAAAAGGAAGAGGACAATCGATGGAAAATGACTCTTGGCTTGCTGCAACAGCAGTATGCCCAGGCCTGGGCCCTATATGCAGAAGCAGAGAGAGCTCACCAAGATGCGATCAACAGACTCGGGTACATGCAGCAACGTCGTTTAAGTCAACCCCAGCTCTTCTCAGGACCACCTGTTCCGGATATGGGACCAGGACCAGTACCAGTGAGGAGGAACAGCCAGCGAGCACGACCACTTAGCATGCGCGAAGGCCTACTTTCTGCTGCCACCGGAGGCTTTGTGCACACTTCTTCGGCCCCTTTCAACAGCATCCCAACCACCGCCTCCCCGTCATTCGCAAATCCAACTCCCTACTTCAACCCAGTAAACGGCATGGCACTGCCTCCGCGTACATATAGCACATCCTTCTCGCAAACCGATATGGAGAGCCTGACTGGAGGAGCCCCAATGAGTCCCACGGCTGGTTCTTTGCTTCCAGCTGGTCTGTTTGGAGACGACTTGGGTTTGACAGAAGACGAAGACGACGATGACCCGGGCCCACCACAAGCACCTTCTCTCAACCCTTCCCCAAACATGAGAAACGTTCTACCCGGCTTGGGCGCGCCTGGCACAATGCACCACACACAAAACTCGAGCTTGCCAGCCTCACCACGGACTCAATCCCCCACTGGATTTGCAAGTCCCAGAGATAGTGCCGGCGATCTGCAGATGCAGTCGAGCAACGACAACAACATGGATAGCGACAGACGATCTATCCACTCAACCTCGAGCTCGTTCCAAACTAACCCTCAGGCCAGTCGATTCGGCGGACTCTTTGGCCTCAATCGAGCACGCGGCAAGACATTCTCGGACGACGGCCCGGCTTTGGGATCCCTCAAACCATCCCAGAGTCAATCTCTGCCACGTCAGGAGCATGGTCTGGATGGCCTCGGCGCTCCACGCCGCCGTGGTAGTCTCACAGAAGGTTCGTGGTACGATGCATTCATACGCACCAAGACGCAACCCATAGAGTCTTCGAGCAGTCCCAAGCATGTAGCTACTCGCAAGCGCCCATTTAATATGTTTGGTAGTGCCAAAGGAGACGATCCATGGCTCCGCTCCATGCTGGGAATGCAACAGCGGCCAGAATCACCTCGCCAGGGGTCCACGAATTCTGGAGAAGGCACGGCACTGCCACGGCCCTCGACAGAGAGTCAGACGCGCTTTGGTTGGAATGTGGACGCGTTCGGTGCCAGGTCTAGCCCTCTCGGAGTCGACTGGAGTGTCAACAACACCAATACTGCTTCGTGGTCCCGATTGGGGTCTAGGCGGCCATCAATCCAACACACAGCCAACGCCAGCTTGATCAATGAGGACGTCATGCACGACGATGTCCTCGACTTTCCTTCAAATACCCGGTCACCTACCCAAGCACCAATTGGCACCCGACCGCAGTCGTCTGCGTCGCACATGCCCGGTCAGATGTCGGCCTCGTCCCTGCCACCTATTCCGCCAACTCCACCCAAACAGCTGAACCCAGCGGCTGCTAGTTTCACCATGTTCCAGTTGGGCAAGAAGACGGAGGAAGATAGAGCCGAGAAAGCTAAGCGTGCTGCAGAAAAGGCCGCTGAGAAGGAGGCTAAGAAGGCTGAAAAAGCAGAAAAGAAGGAAGAAAAGGAGAAGAAGGCCAAGGCGGACAAGGCAGAAAAGGCATCACGCAAAGACAAACATACGCCGTCCGAAGCTGGCGACTCGCGAGAAGCAACCTCACCCTACCTTGATTCTCGCATGTCCCGAGACACACCATCCATCTCCACCGCCGATGCATCAGAGTCGTCTCCACGCGAGTCACTGGAACATAGCATTTCTTACGCTGCATCGGACGCTGCAGGCTCCATAGGCAAAGAGTCGTTTATGCAGAAACTGACGCGCAAAGGCAGCACTAACCAATTTCTTACCTTTGGAAAGAAGAGCGGCCTCTTTTCTAAGAGCAAGGCTGGTGATGTTCCCGGAACTCCAGATGAAGTCGAAGAGGAAGGCTCTAGCGGCTTCTTTGGGTTGGGTAAAAGCGCAGACAGCGTAGGAAATAGCCCAAGCATTGGTACTTCAAAAGACAAGGCGAGTATGTGGGGCTCTATTAAGCGTATTGGCAAGAAGGACAAGACCCCAAGCTTGCATGAGAGCATTGCTAGTGAGGCTACTGGTGACGAGGAGGATATGGCTCAGGAGAATATCAAGGCATAGCTTGTATTACTTGCTTGATATATAAGTTTAGCAAAACGCTGATGGTTTTGAAAAAAGAAATGAAATTCGTATCGCTTTGTAAGACTATGAGATGACTTCGTTGTTCATTCGTTTGTTCATTCGTGTGTTTCACTGGCGTGTCGTTCTTCCCCGGATTCTGCATGCTGCATGCCAAGCACGGCGCGACTTGGGCAACTTCACCTTGACCTCAGACGACCAACCGACAACCCAACCCAGCTCCCCGTCTCCCCCTTACATCACGGGCACCATGGCTTCGCCAGCCGCAGAAAATGTGCCTAATGGCATTTCTACCCCACCAGCTACCGCAAACGCACCCACACTCAGCCCACCCACACAGCCACCACCTGCATCGCAACCGTCGCAAGCATCCAATGGCGCGTCAGCAAACCCAGCGGCCAGCATGAACGCCGCCTTTCCATCCAGCTCGCTCCAGGATAATGGAACCAGCAAGCGACCCCGCGACGCACGCCTCATCCATCTGATTCTAGCCAACATGGGCGTACATGCCTACACGGAGCGCGTACCGCTACAGCTCCTCGACTTTGCCTATCGATACACCTCATCCATCCTCTCCGACGCGTTATCATACGAGCCACCTCTACCCACGACATCAGCGTCGAAGAAACGCAGCGGCCCCAACGCCGAGTCGGGCGAAGACGGCGTGTCGCTGAATGCGCTGCGCACGGCAGTTGGAGCGCGGGCTGCAGGCACCTTCCAAGGCACGCTGGGCAAGGAATTCATGAGCGAGGTGGCGCTCGAGCGGAATCGCATTGCGCTGCCCCGTGTAGACCGCGAGTTTGGGATTCGCCTGCCGCCCGAGCGGTACTGCTTTACGGGCGTGGGGTGGGATGTCAAGGGCGCGTGGGAAGAGGAGCTTGAGGAGACCAACGAGGATGTCGATATGGATGATGATGTGGGTGCTAGTGGAGCAGGCTTCGGGGGTCCTGTGGGCGGTGTTAATGGAAACGCTGGGGGTGAAGCGGGAGATACGACTATGGGTGGTATGGAGGATGAGGAGCAGGATGATGATGAGTTTGAGGAGGCCATGGGGATCAACCAGGAGAACAACGGGTAATTTTCCTGGGCTAATTGTTGTTCGAGGTGGGAAGATTGGTGGTGGGGGTTGATCGTGGGAAGAGTGAAAAGAAGGCGTTCAGTGGATCTTTTAGCATTTCATGGCGTTGAGTGTGAGAGAGAGGTACGGACCTGGTCTTTCTACATTACATATACCAGAGCTTGAAATGGCTCAGTCCTGCATGGTTTCTACATGGGATCATTATTTTGCAAGAAAAAAAAAAGAAGAAATATATGGATAATTTCCAAGATGATGTTACAATATCATACAAAGTGGGTTTCGTCCTGTTCCTGTACAAGAAAAAAGGGTAATGTAAGTTTTTCTTCTTCTTTCCCCTTCCACTCCATATCCAAAACCCCTTCACGTCCCTCTATATATCCCACCCCTCGTAACACCCCGATCATCCACACGATTCTCCTCACGTCTCGCGAGGCCAGCCTCATTCACCTGCTCCGCCCTCTTCCCTACCGTCCTCCCCTGCTCATCCAAATTCCACCACTCCTTATGCTTCGACCGCGCCTCCTCAAGCTTCCTCTGATGTTCTTCTCTCGCCTGGTAATCGTCAGCACAAAATATCCCGAACCCTCTAATTCTCTCTCCCCCAAGTTTCCACACGTGAGCATGGAAAAGAATGTGGAGGAGAATCTTCATATGTAAATATGAGGAAAGAAAACATTAATTACCTTTTTCCTTTCCCCAGCAAGCGCAAACCACTCCTGCCGCGCCTTATCCAGCTCATCCTGATTCTGATACTGCAGCATACAACTATTCATAGCGAGGCGCGCATCGCGACACGCATAGATCATGGTGAAAGTGCGGCCGAGGGCGCACGAGGCAAATGTTTCGATTTCGGGGGCGCATTTGGCTCGCACGTTTTTGTAGTACAGGTCGCGCACTTGTTGTTCTTGCGGGGCGGACAGCGGCGTCGGGTTGCTGGGCAGCGGGTTGTTGCCGATTATCATGCGGTCCGTCATTTTTGCGTCTGGTGGTGGGAGGGGAGGGGTGCGCGGAGGGGGCGCTGGGTGGAGTGACTTGTCGCTCTCTATATATTTCTAGGTTGCAGTGTCACCTTGATGATGGTGGTGGATGGAAAGCGAGCGTGGTGGGGGGGATATGCGTGTATCGTATTCGAGTGTGTGGTCAATATGGTATGTGCTGCAGCAGCCGTCGTGGGGGGAATTGGGCGCTGAGAGTTGCAGGACTTGAATGGTGGTCACTCCGCAATACCGTGATGCCAAAGTCGAGATTGATATGATTCGGAGCAGGCATTGCAATTGCGGATACGGAGTGGAGCATGCTGGTGTCGGTATTTTGGGCACGTTTAGCGCCGATGGGGGAGACTGATGAACCGAGGCACACGGTAGTGCCGCTAGGGAAACAGTTCACATGCGGTACGAGACCTCTCACGTACATCCACATACACAAAGCAACACTACGTTCGACGCATGTCATATTCTCTTTGACAGTCATTACCTTGCCTCACTACAATTCTCTGTCACACACTGTACACATTCGCAAAACAGTCAAACAACACAAGATGAAGATCGCAGACCGAACATTCGTCATAAGCGGCGGCGTGTCTGGCCTCGGCCTGGCAACAGCACGCGCACTCCATCAACAAGGCGCATACGTCTCACTACTCGATCTCAATGCCGACAACGGTGCAAAAGTTGCCTCTGAACTCGGCTCTCGCGCAAAGTTCTTCGAAACCGACGTCTCGGATACCCAGGCCATTGCCGCAGCAGTACAAGGGACAGTGGCTTGGGTCAAGGAAACAGGAAAGCACATTGGAGGCGTAGTCGCTGGCGCAGGTGTGGGAATGCCAGGATTAATCATCGACAAGAAGAATGAGCCGTTGAGCCTTGAGAGCATTGATTTCGTACTAAACATCAACCTGCGAGGAACGCTGGATCTGATCCGTCAGACACTACCACACATGACCACTGCGCCTTCTTCAGGCCCCGACGGCGCCCGCGGTGTCATCATCATGATTGCCTCCTCCGCTGCCTTCGACGGCCAAATGGGCCAGGTTGCATACGCAGCCTCCAAGGGAGCAGTCGCATCTCTGACCCTCCCCCTCGCCCGCGATCTCTCAAGGTACGGTATCCGAGCCGTGACGATAGCGCCCAGCATGTTTGACAGCGCCATGACGCGCATGATGAGCGACAAGGTCAGGAAGAGTCTGGAGAACAGCATGGAGTTCCCAAAGAGGCCAGGACAACCGGACGAGTTTGCCAGATTGGTGGTGGAATGCATTGGGAATGACATGTTGAATGGAACGGTGCTGCGGTTGGACGGCGCAATGAGGATGCCGGCGAGACTATAGTTTTGATTTTGATTGTTTTTCTTGTTTCCAAATAATCGCAATGTCTTCAACGCTTGCGCTCGCGGACCTTGAACTTGACGCCGTTCTTGTTGACTCCTCCCACTGTGTTATTCATTTTTGCGCGCTGCAGCTCCAGCTCCTCTTCTGCCGCCATCAATTCACGTTCTCGTTTCTTGATCCCTTGCAGTTTCGAGGCTGTCCTTTCCAGCGCACGCTCCCTGTCTTTGCGGAACTTCCTGGCTTCTCGCCGCGCCTGCTCCTCTGCCTCTGCCTGCTTCTTGGACAGTGTCTTGGGCCGCTGTACAGTTTGCTCCTCGTCCTCCTCCGATTCATCTTGGAGATCGCCAAATGTTGGTGAATCTACTCGGCTTGGAATCTTTTCTCCACGCCCAAACCATGCATCCGGATCGAATTCTTCCTGCTCCTCCTCATTCTCCACAAAGACCCTATGTTTGCCATGCTTTGCCTCTTCTCCGTCCTTCATAGCCCGGACCTCGCCCTGCTCCTCCATGACCAGCTTCTTCTCTAGTTCCTCGCGCTCTTTCCGGGTGACCTGGAGCATGGTGCGGATGTAGCCCGCGTCCTGGGTTTTCAGTAGCTTGACCACGTCGACGCTCAAGGCCTTGTTGCCCCGGTCTGCCACTTTGCGACCATTCTTGTCCACCTGGGACGACATCATCTTGAAGGAGAACTCATCGGGATTGCGGTCGCGAGCCTTCTGGCTCAAGATCTTGAGCTTGGCCTTCTTCTCTCGGTGGTCGGCGGCGCGCAGCTTGTAGTCTTTGCGCTTTTCGAGCAGACCCCATTTCTCGCGCTCGAGGGGCTGCGCGCGCTCTTTGTGATTGCGCCGCTGAACGGCATTTCGCATCGATGACATGTTGGTGCGGCGTCGAGGTCTGTGTCTACCTTGACGGTTCACTGGTGTCGACTTGAAACTGCTGGAAATTATTCCAGGCGCCAAGACTCCGACCCGCTGAAATGTTCTTCTCTTCGAGCGTCTGTGCGTGCTCCGCCGCATGTCCGCACCCTCGCCCGCGACCGCCAGTTCGAGGCCTACTGGGAAAACCGAGACGATTCTCATGACGGATTCGGCACAGGACATGAATCACACCGGGGTCTACATTACCTATTCTACACATTTTATTGCACATCACTCCCTCGTCGGCATCCCATCAGGGGCGTCTTCGTTCGTCCGTTGGCTTCGACATGCCATAGCCTGCAGAAATAGTTCCAAACATGATGTGACGTCTCACTCCCCGGCGCGTAAGCACTTTGCACCGTGGCAAACGTTAATCGACAATTACGCGGATTGGTATGCAAGTATGTACGCATATAAGGAGACCGCATTCTTAGACCTGCAGCTGTCTGTCCGGTAGCGTGCTAAATGAGATGTGATCTTGGAAGAAATGACATCTCTTCATTAATTGGCGATAGTCAGTAAGAGATTTTTCGGTGTAGTGACCCTTCCGGGGACCGTGGTTTTCGTAGCTCTCCGCCCGTACTCGGAAACGAGGCCTAAAAGTTTGGCCGAGATGCCAAGTCTATGTTAAATTGAAGCCAAGGAATCCTTTGAGATCCAACGACAAATTTGGGACTGATCTGTGGCGGACAGGATGTTTTGTCCTGCCGTTTGCAGTCATGGCAAAACCCAGTCACTTGAACGGCTTTGCCCTACTGTTCACAAAGAGTGTTCTTTGGAATATTTGAAAAAACAGTTCCTACCACAAGGACATTTACTAATTATTCCGTGACTATGTAGACTTTCAAAATGTGTTGTAGACAAGGAAAGCCACTCGACCACATAAGGCCTAGTCCTACCCGCTGCCAACCACTTATCCTACAATAGTAACCATCGCACGTTTTTCTCGAACGATCCGCCCATGCAGAAAAAGTGCCCCCACTCCTGCGGCGGTGTAGTCTTGGCCTTGGACACTCAAGTCCATCTGCGGTAATTTCGCATACTCCACCACCCGCTTATCTTGGTATCCACATATGTTCGCAAACCGAGCGCTTATGCATAGAGAACTAGGCATGTATCCATTAAAGACAGCAAGCTTCCCACCCCTTCCTATGCTATCGTGTTGCACTGTTTTCATTTTCACTTCTAATCGTGTGCCTAATCTGGAAACACGATCTAACTCCTCTAATCCATCGCACCTTTTCTCGAGATCGCTTTGATTGGCAACTTGCCTTTTTTTTCAACATGATCTCTCAAGTCGCTCTTTTCTCGCTCGTCGCCAACATGGCAGCTGCGCATATTCTGGACATTCCCACTCGTATCGGCGAAGTCATTGCGCTGCCAGAAGCTAGCGTCATCACAGGTTCCGTTGACTTCGGAAACAAAGAGTTTGACCGTGGTCACAAGTGTGACACGGACGATGACACTGGCAGCCAGAATGCCGTCTTCGTTCTGCAAGACGGCGCCTCCATCTCCAATGTTATCATCGGCACTGATGCGCTCGAGGGCGTCCACTGCTTGGGCTCTTGCACGCTGACCAACGTCTGGTTCCGTGACGTCTGCGAAGATGCCATTTCCGTCCTCGGCACTGGTGACGCTCTTATTGTCGGTGGTGGAGCAACCAATGCTATTGACAAGGTTGTTCAGCACAAGTAGGTTCTCTTTTACTAGTGCAGATAGGAACCCCGCTAACATAATTGTAGCGGCCCTGGAACTGTGACAATCCGCGACTACACCATTGTCAATGCTGGTAAACTCTACCGCTCATGCGGTGACTGCACCAATAACAGCAAGAAGTCTCCCCGCAAAGTCATTGTCGAGAACGTCAAGGCCTTTGGATTGACCTCTGACTTGATTGGAATCAATCCCAACTTTGGTGACAGTGCGACCATCAGCGGCTCTTGTGGACAGACCAAGGAGGTTTGCGCAGACTACCAGGGCGTTGACAAGGGTAACGGCAAGAGCCAGAGGCTCAATACTAAGCAAAGCTGCAACGGTCCCCAAGGCAAGCTTGAGAAACTCCCAGAGTGTGATGCTGCTGAGGCACCAACTGCCACTGTCACAGCAAGCAACACCCCAGTCTACAACGCCACAGTGCCTCTCCCCACCTTGACTGTTTCCACTGCCACAACAAGCAGCACCCCAGTCGCCAACGTCACAGTGCCCTTCCCTACCTTGAGCGTTTCCACTCTCATCACCAAGACCTCCGCCATTGCCACCCCAACTCAGTAAGACATCTCCGCAATCTTCATATCGTTTGCATAGTTAACAATCCATCAGGGGCAGCGGAAACTACGACGGCAGCTACGGCAGTGGCCACGGTAACAGCGACAGTGTCTCGCTATTCGGACGCTGCGGTGGCAAGGGTTACACTGGACCCACTACTTGCCGTTACGGCAGGTGTGTCGCATTCAACCCATGGTTCTCCATGTGTATCTAAGCTCTGTGGAGTCCCGGTGCGACGAACTCTAGACAGGGTATGATGTGGCTTGGTCTATGCCGGGGCTTGCTCCCCTACGGCTTCTTTTCTTCTGACTATATTTTATCCTTTGTACATACATATTTACTTGCCAGCCAATCAATTACCATCTATAACATGAATAATGTTACTGTTATTTTGCTCCCCTATGGTGTTCCGTGTCAGCCTTTGAGCGTTGATTTCACGTGATCCCCATATCTTGATGTCGGCCACACGACTGCTAAATGGAGGCCTGTGCTTGAGAAGAGATGGTTGCTCGCTTGTTGCATGTGCGCATCCACTCTGAACGTCAAAGTCAATATTTTTTCCCAGACCAACATAGCACTTGAACGAGAAACGTGAACAATATAGTGCTATTCACGGTCTATACTCAAAAATGGTACAAATTCTTGACTATGCAGTTATGCAAGCAAAGGAAGTCATTGGTTGTAAACATGACGTCAATAATTGGCAAGCGAATACCACCTTCGAGCTACCCCGAGTCATGTTAATCGCTTTTTACATAGAAGATTGTAGCAACACTATTTGGCCCGTATACCCGAAGAAACGATGACCCGGTTACATACGGAACGATTGCTTGAAATGGTACTATCTGCGGCTCGCCTGGCTATTCTCGCGTCCCCTCACTGGGCAAAGGGCTTGTCGTCTTGGTTTTTCCGACACCACAGTCAGCCATACCGAAATGTGGTAATAGCGCAATGCTAAAGCCTGGAGAAATGCGATGATCCCTTGCCGGACGAAGTGCGGAGCCCCACACAACATCTTCCAGGGTTCACGTCGTTGTGGACTCGGGCTATTTACCCCCGCAATTGCTTGGCTGGGAAATAGTTGTGGACTTTGGCCGGCTATTATATGAAGTCCAAGCAAAACCGTTGTCCTCAGCACCGTCCCTATCCAAGTCTTCCCACCATAACTTCAAAATGGGGTTCAGCAAGCTATTTTGCCGTCTTGTGTTGGTTTCTGCAACTACGTCTGCCAAATGGATTGTTCCAGGAGCGCGATGGAGAGCAACAGATGGCTCACTTGTCAATGCGCATGCAGGCGGTGTGACCGTGGATCCTGAGACCGGCAAATTCTTTTTGTTCGGGGAATACAAAGTTCAAGGTCAAGAAGAAGGTGGTGGTGTGAGCGTCTACAGCTCCGACGATCTTGCAACATGGGAACCCCACGGTTTGGCATTGACCCCAATCGAAGACCATCCCTACATTTCGAAGAAGGACATTATTCAGAGACCAAAAGTTGTATATAGCAAGGCTACCAGCAAGTATCATGTACGGCATTGGCACATGTTCTCTCGGCAGTTCAACTAATACTTTGTAGATGTGGTGGCATGCCGACAATTCGACGTACGGCGAGTTGCTCCAAGGTTTTGCCGTTTCCGACAACATCACCGGACCCTATACTTTCGTCGATGCTACGGCACCTCTTGGAAATTGGTCGCAAGATTTTGGCATGTTTGTAGACCAAAAAGATGGACGTGCATACGCCCTTTACTCCAACGGCGACCGTCGCGAAGGACGCGACGTGTATCTCACATCCTACAATGAGAATATAACTGCTCTCGACAAGGTCATTCACCGTTTCGATAAATACGATCTGGAGGCTCCCAATATCGTGCAAACAGATCAGAGCTACTTTGCCCTCATGTCACATAAAACGGGGTATCGACCAAATAGTAAGATGCAAGTCGTTGTTGAAATGTGCAAGAAACACTAACTCTACCAAGATGTGGTCGCATTCCGCGCAGACTCTCTTTCTGGTCCCTGGTCGCAGCCCTTCATAATCGCGCCATTGAATACGCGCACGTACAACTCCCAATCAGGCTTCAATCTCCGTATCAACGGTACCAAGAAGACAACCTACATCTACATGGGAGACCAATGGGATTCCATCTCGCTGTGGGAATCAAGGTAAGAGACTTGGAAGCTGTGAATAGAGAAGGGTAGAGTGCTGATAACGAACAGGTACATCTGGCTTCCACTTGAAATCAACGAGGAAGAAAAGTCCCTTGAACTTGTGTGGCATGATGTCTACGACCTCGATGTAAAAACTGGTGAAGTTACACCTATCGAAGGTACTACCTACTATAACAAGGATGCAACCACGACTGGAAACGCATGGCACCAGGAAGCCAAATTCGCAAGCGACAAAGTTATTGTGACTGGCATCTATGGCAACGACAGCAAAGTCACCTTCCACAACATTGAAGGCAGCGGTAAACCTCAGTGGGTATCATTCTATTATCAAAACACTGACGACATGGGCTTTGGCGACCAACCTGGTGGCACTCCTGATCGTATCAATGGAACTTGGCAGCTCCGTCGCATCTCCAGCGTCATTGTCAACAACAAGACTGAAGAGCTCCAAACATTGTACCAAAGAGATACTCACAAGGGGATTATTCTGAGCACGCCGCTCATGCTTGACTTGGAGAAGGGAAACCACAACACCATTACTATTGGCGGTCTATACAATGGCAAGGATATCAAGGGTGCGGACATTGACCGTATTGTAGTCTACCCGCCTGAAGAGTAGTTGGTGGCTTTTCAAGTCCTGATAAATCATGAATACTACAAATGTAATGTTTTGTTCAAATTCTATCAAAATTCATGGATAAACAACATAAGTTACCTCTTTCTAATTTCTCTATAATCTAACTCCTTGAGCACTAATCTAGTCGCTAAATGACAAAATATTGATAATACTCGCTCATTTCTAAAAATCATGGCATCGTCGATCTACGCACGCAAAACAGGATGATCTAGAACGCCACTCACATAACCCATCTATGTTCATCGTAATCTATGCCCATCCTATCCGATACAGGTTGTATCCACTCTCATCACCTCTACCCACGCCCCTCCTCTTCTCGACAAACTCCTTTTCCAGTATGCGAAAAACCATACCGTTTGCGTTCTTGGGACACTTTTCAGGAACAAAAGCGGACTCGACAGTGTCGGGAATACCTTCGAACTTGCCAGTCTTGCGCACCGTGACCATTAGCCAAAACGTGCCACCCAGAGTCAGTATATGCGCGGCGCAATCGCGTAGCCAAGCAGCATGCTCGGGTGCATAGACGACGTCAGACGCGATGAGGAGATTGGACGTTGCTTTCAGGGCTTGAGGCGGCTGTGCCCAATCCAGAATTGCAGTCGACACAGGCGGCGATGCATTGGTGCAGCTCGAGGGAAAGTTGGTTTCGATGTTGAGCTTGCAATTGTCCAGGACGGCCGGATGGTAATCAGTCGCTGCAATGTCGCCATTGTGAATGTTGATGGTGGGAAGGAGCTTTGCTAGCACTAGACTGACGAGACCAGTTCCTGCGCCCAACTCGGTAATCTTGGGCGTGGGCGCGAGGTCTGTTGGATCCAGCCCGAATCGCTTGGGGTCGGCGCACATCATGCTACTAAGGACGATGCTGGCACCCCAGGATTGCAGGCCAACTGCGGTGTGGTCCGTACTTGAGAGCGGCGCATCGTTGAGTGTAACTTGGATTGCTTCTCCAAAGGGCATGGAAAAGCTGAAGTCGCGGGTTAGCGCCTCGTCTTCATCACAGTCGCTGGATTCGAATAAACTCGAAAGAATAAAGGCAGCATCGTCAACGATCCTCTCGCGAGCCTCTTCATTCATGCTCATTTCCTCCGAACGCGCGAGAAGCGAGTTCAGCCATTGCGTGGTGAAAGTGCGTTCGAATGGGTCGGCACGTAGAGCAGCGGTCACCTCTTCCAAACTCGTCTCTTGGTCGTCTTCGTCCTCATCCTGAGAGGCATAGCCGGAATCAACAGGGGCTGGTGGCGACGTGATGGATTGCTGATCTCGCTTGGATACTGGTGTGGAAATGACAGTCGGTAAGCGTACGGGACAATACAGGGCCCGCAAATGCTTCAGCGCCGAGGTGATCTGGGTTTCTGGCAGGGAAACTAGCAAACGAGCGGATGGCAAACTGCTTGAAGGCGGCAGACAACTGCCCGTGAGACTGCCACTCATTTGACGGCTCTCGCTAAAGAACGAAGGACGAAGAGGGTAACGTGCGCGCAGACGGGAAACAAAAAGGAAAGAATGTGGAGAGGGGAAAGAACCGGAGACGACGCGGGGAAAAAAAAGGGCCTATCGTGAAACTGAAGGCAAACGATAAGGAGAATAACACGATAATACTGGGTTTAGCCTCACGCTCGGACAAATGCCGCTACTACGAGAAGTTTTCACCGCCTGTCATATTGCACCGTGGGCGTGTGTGTGGATCACGATGCATTGTGGTGATGGGGATTACGATGGGGTACTTAGTGTGGCATTTTTCCCTGGTCCAGAGATCCCGATAGCTTTCGAGACATGTGCGCAGTGAACTGTTGGCTCTCCTCACGATGCGTGACTGTAGTGAGATGGGATTTTGTGTCAAATGGTAATCGCCACGTGGGTCGCTAACAATCAGCCTCATGAACGCTACTCCCGAAGTCGCTTAGCGCAAACAGACCCTTTGGCTCAAACGGCCTGCAGCCATGGATTCCCCTACTAATGTACGGCCAACTCCGGCCAATGCCATTTGGACAATGTCGCGGAACGGCAAAAGGCCTCTGAAACATCTTGGTATACCAGATTTGGAACTTGTCAACAGTCCGTGGATTGCAGCGCTAGTGGCTTGGAAGGCTAATGCTACATAGAACCGCCGAAGCTCTGAGCATCCGACATGACGGTCGGGATCCTATTGCTTACACCCGGAAATACCTGCGATAACTACATGTCCTTCACAAGATTAATCTGAGGGGTGATAACAGCATCCCTATCAGACAACAATTACCCTCCGTCGCCGACTCTGTTGCGATTAGACGACAGTGGAGTGGGAAGAAAAGGAAATTGAGCAACGGTATTCTCCATGAATAGAAAAGGCTGGACCAGCATCTTTGACAGCAAAAGGAAAGCAATCGGGTTTAATTTCCTTCTCGCCGGTTTGCATCCATTGATAGATAATTTGCGGCCAAAAATGAACTACAACGCCATAGTCGCAGTCGTAATGGCTAATATTGACATACTGCTAAGGTGTTTTCTGGATGAGAAGCTTTTGGTCAACTGTCTTTGTGAAAAGTGTCGTTCATTCTGACTAACAGAAAAGAAGTAGCAGCGATACACGTGATCGATGGCTCCTTTGATCTGTCGCGTGAACTCCACTTCGAAACGCTGAATTCAATAGGACACTACGTGTTTCTCCTAAGTTTCTACCTGTTCTCATACCTTGCTCAAAGTTTCATTAGGCTCGTGCCCTCGCACTAAAGCACCTGTCGCAATGTCCCATGTCTGCCACGCCAAAATTCTGATTTTCCGCCTCACGCATCAACACCCTTTCTGCGACGCAGAAGCACCCTGGCTTGCATGTCAGGATACATGTCTCCGTCTACAGTGAAATTCTTCGGGCGTGGTGAATATTGTCCTGATGGGAACTTCCAGTCATACAACAGCAGGAGTTGCGAGAGCACTAGTTTGATCTCATTGGCGACAAAGGCTCTTCCTGGACAAGCATATTTCCCATAACCAAACGCCATGTGCTCGGCGTCGCTCATCGCAAAAGTATACCGCTGGGTATTTTTAAGGTCCTTGCGCAACTTTACATAACGATAGGGATCGAAAGTTGCTGGATCCCCGCCGGGGACCCGTGCCGGGTCGTTAAGGATTGCGTTCTGTGGTACTGCGATGCGAGTACCGGCCGGAAGATGCACTCCGTTTGAAAGAGTGAGGGCTTTTGGAAGAATGCGGTTGAAGGTCATCAGGAAAACGGGACTTTGTCGCTGCGATTCTTTGAGCAGGCTGTCGAAAAGGTGGAGTTCATCAAGTGCGCTCTTGGTCCAGCTGCTGCCCTGATACTGCGGCCCTTGAAGGGCATTGACAACTTCGGAACGAATCTCAGGGATGAGTTCAGGTCGAGCACATAAATCGTAGAGTGCTTGGGCCATTGTCAATGCTGTTGTATGAATTGCCGTCAGACTTAAAAGTAGAGTCAATTGGGCCAGATTTTCAACCTTCCGCTCTTGGTCATTCGCAGCTTCGAGTAACCATTGCAGGACATCTTGGTGAGCTGTTGGCGTATCGACCCTCTCGCGCTCTGCGACCAGTTCACCAACAATACGCACAGCATCTTTAACGTTACGATGAAGCTGTCGGTATGTCGGTAGCATCGGAGCAATGGCTGGGCGTAGAACTTTTGGAACAAAGCGTAGAATGGTCCCCGTGATAAATAGATTCTCTGTGTATTGTGCCGTTGTTAAGAGCCAGTCTTCGTCACGACAACGATCCGGACCAATCCATACGCGTGCAACCAGCCGAGAAATTATACGTGGGAAGACATCCATCAAATTCAGCTCTACCCAGTCTTCACCATCGCACGGGGGAAGCTCTTTTTGTAAAGCATATTGCAACTCATCTCGGACGATAGGAACCAAGGTGCTGAGATTTGGTGTCAACTTCGTTTGCAACACGCGAGTTTGTACGTCGCTCGTCTCAAAGATGTTTCCATTTGTCCAGTCTCCAGCAAAGTCGTCGAGAAAAGGCTTGACAGAGCGCACAGCATCGTTGGTGAGGGCTCGGATCTCATTAAGAAGCTTGTTATCACCAACAACAACCACATCTGCTCCCACACGGCGGAGCACGAACAAGTCTCGATACTTGAGAAAATCTTAGCAAGCTTCATCCATATCCATCAGTACTGGCCCGCCGGAAAATTTGCTTACCTTTTCGTATCCTTCCTTGATCATCGACCTACTCCCGCGGATGAAACGCAATCGTACAAGCCATTTGGGCTCCCAGAAAGCCCTATGTCCGACAACAGGAAGTCCAAGTTTGGTGCAATTGGTCCTTAGAGCGTATACCAAGTAAATGCATATGGCAGGCACTATGAAAAAAGAAAGCAGAGAGTGCCCATTTGCCAGCGTTGGAGCCGTGATAACGTGTATGCCGTCTATCGTATAATTCATAGTTCTCTTTGTGTTGGTTACTAGAGTTACAAGTAAGAATCTTCAAAAACTCAAATCGCTAAAAAAGTTTGGAATAGTACCATCGTGAATAGCACCGTACGGGAACAAAGCAAGTTTGGATGAGGCAGACTGATACCTTCGGAGTTCGTAATTTAATTACCGCCCCATATTAATTAATTGCACTGTCACGACTAGCGGCATATCGGATAGCGAGAAGAACCCTGAAACTGGGAGGAAGCAGACTAACAGCTTCGGAGACCGTAGCCTTAGTGCCGGGTTATGTTAACCAAGTGTGCCGTTGCGAATAGCACCGGAAGCGAAGAAGAAGTGGACGTATGGCCTGATCAAACAAAGTTCGGGAAGCAGTTGGACATAGAGAAGAATAAACGCGTTTGAGATATAGACTTGTTGCTAATAATCCACAGAAATATCGTTCACTTAGATGGCGCTTTTGTTTGCTTTCTCGTAGTCGGGTTCAGATACCTCCTCATGCCATTTACAATCTAGATAGCCGTATTAGTACCTTAGGATTATAAAGCCAGGTGAACCACTAACCACCTAACGAAATTGCTGTAT